TTCTTTTCTTTTCTTTTCTTTTCTTTCTCCCTGTTTGCAGACACGACAAAGAGGGGATTAAAGGGTGGAGTTACAATCCTCAGTAAAATTATCTGTTTTTAAAGACTTGCTTGCACAAACTCTTTCACATTATTTCATGATGCCCTGCCTTCTTTGTTGGGAATAGTCCTAGTAGCTGCTCTTTATAACACCTACTCACCTGGTATAGCAAATTTCCCTTGCTGTACCTCTCACTCCTCTTGCTGTGCAGTTTCTGCCCTGATTTCAGTAAGCCTTTTGTCTTCATTAGATTTTTCTCTGTCTCTGCAATCGCTCCATCTCTTATGTCAGGAGGTGAAGGTTGCAGCTGGCCCTTTACACAAGAGTGCCAGTAGGCTTTGATTATGAAGGCAAAATGATATATTCTGGTGCATTCAACAAAGGAAGAATGTGTTGCCTGTTCCTTCTGACATAGGAAGGGGAGAAGATGCTCCATGAAAGGCACTATGCCCCAGAAGCCATTCTGTCCAGACTACAAGAAATGGAAGAACTGTGGGAGGAGCTGCTAGCAAGTTGCCAGGATAAATGGACCAAACTGCAGGATGCTTACAAGGTAATGCCAGTGGTCACAGGGATGCCAGTGACTGGATCTTGGTGTCTTTTCCAGAGATAGCAAAGCTGCCTTGCTACATGTCTCATCTACAAGTGTGTCACTTGATACAATCCAACCTGATTCCTCAAGACCATAACTGCAAAGAATCTACTAAGTGGGGACTGACTTAATGGAATTAGCAGGATAATTGGAGATCCCTCAGAAGGGAACAGGATTTGTAGGCTAGGCTCCATTCTGCTTTCTGCTGCTGGTTTAGATCCAGATTCCAGAGAGACATACTGAAGAAAAATGTGTTTACTCATATGTGTCAGCTCTCTGCATCTGTCTCCAGGGCATCTTTTCTCCAGCACATTGAGAAAGAAACCTACAGCTGCTTTTCGTTCTTCTAAGTCCAGGCACATAAATTCTCATGACTTGCTTGGGCTATCAGAAAATCTATGGTTATAAAACAGACCTCTCCCTTTAAAAGTCTGGGTTTTTTCAAGGTGCTATGTCCATGATCTGTATGATCTATATTTGTGCAACACAAGTAAGATAGGCTGTTGATGTTTAATGCATCTGTTCTTGTCTTCACCATGACTGAATTTTCTTCTTCATTTGCAGCACCATTATATATGGGAAGAGTTCACTGAGCACTGGGAAGTGGCTCCATGTTTCTGTGCAATCTTTATTGAGTGTGACTGAGATTTTAACATCATATTATCTGTCCTAAAAGTTTCAATGACCTTTTCCTCTTGCTTGTTCTCAGGGTCTTCATTTTCAGCGAAATGTAGAGGACACAGAGAAATGGTTGGAAGGTGTGGAAAATGACCTGAAAGCACCGTATAATGACAATGATCTGGTGGTTTTGAACAGTCACCTGAAGAAACAAGAGGAATTGGAGGAAGACATTGCTGCCCATAGGGACCGGCTGCAAGAGCTTGTGGTCACAGCTCAGCAGTTCCAGAAGGAGAAACATTTCCTTGCTGATGAACTAGAAGAGAAAGTGGATGAATTGGTGCAGAGGTGTGTCATGCCTGGCCTGTCTTCTGCTGTCATTTTGCTACTTTTATCAGCTTTTTTCTTCCCTGAATATTCTTCTTTCCTTCTCTACACTGTTCTGAAGTGAGTGTTCTGCATTCATTCCTTATCAATCTGTAGACCTCACTGGATAATCTTTAAAACCTACAGATACAAAAGGCTACGTGATCCTCTGCAGGAGAGGCGGGGGAGTCTGGAGGCAAGCAGACTTCAGTACCAATTCTTCCGAGACGTTGATGAGGAGCTGGCTTGGGTTCGTGAGAAGCTCCCCATGGCTTCCTCCAAGGATTATGGCAAATCCCTGGCAACTGTTCAGAGTCTACAAGAAAAGCACCAGGTAATGTAACATGTAACAGCCATTCACAGTCTTTAGAATCAAACAGAGAACACTGAACTCAATTTGTCTCTAGCAAACTTCATCTGCTGTGCTCTGGCTAACAGGGATCACTTTTATCCTCTTCTTCAAGGATCTGTCCATGACTTGTCAACATACAGGATGCCATCCTGCTTATTGTTGCAGTGGTGCAAGTACCACACCACAGGCCTTCTGTGGACATGCTGGCTCTTTCTGTGAGCTCAGTTCAAACCCCGGCCTTTTCAATACAAAATAGATTTTACAAACCTGTGTATATTTTCATGGGCTCTTTGGTCCTAACAAAATGCTTTCAAACTCAGTAAGTTTGTAAGTAAGCAAGTAAGTAAGTAAGATCCAAGAAAGTTCATTGCTCACATGTCGTGAGATGAGCTCCCAGGTGTGCTGGTTTTGTAAAACCAAAAACTCAAATTAGTGACCTAAACCACTACACTAGGAAAACAGTTTCCCCCAAATTTTTCCCTGCTCTGATGGGAGGGAGTTTACAGGGAACTATTATGCTAGCTGACCTTCATTCCAGTGGTAGCTTTCAAGACAACTGCTGAAATATTTCTTAAGGTTCAGATGGAGCATTGGAGGAAGCAGTGCCTGGAATACTGTCATCTCAAATACCAATAATTACCTTCCTGATAGTTCTTTAATAAGGAACACTGTCTCTTTTCAAACACAAGGTGGAATTAAAAATATTCCTGCTAAGATTTTCTAGCAGCTTTTGGTATTTAATATTAATATTAGCATATGACATCCCATTTAAGTGCCATGTCAAGTGCCTTTAAGGGAAACCTGTGCAACCTTCATTAGGATTGGGAAAGACAGGAGATCCTATATATTGTCAATGTGTGTGATATAGTCAGAGAGAGAGAAAGCCCAAGTGTCTGGTGCAATCATTGTGAAACAGTAAGAAAGAAAAGCTTGTTTCATCATGATTAAAAGCACAAATGTTGTTATGTGTGCAATTACTCCTGAAATTTATGAACTCATTGGCATGGAAAGCAAGTAATGAAGTTCACAGAAGAAAAGAATGCTTGAGCTGAATTAATCTGAAAAAATATTTCAAATAACTGAACGAACAGAGGAGATACTGCTTTAGGCTATGATTATTTTTTGTTAGTTGGCTAAGTCTCAAAATTTTTCAACTACCTGTGAGACTGGAGATGTAAACTATAAAATCAGTGTATAATAAAATTCTCTGACATTTTACTTACTATTCTTCTGGAAACAGGATTAAAATATAAGCTTTTAACTCTCAACGTGTTATTAGCTACAGCCTCTGCACCTTCTTTTAATTGTTGGTTTACAAGCAAGCAAATGTCAGAATTAACATAACAGTCAGGAATTGAATAGACTGTTGGTTCCACCCTCTATTGTTTGTCCTAATGAGCCAGATTTGCAAAATTCAGTCCTTGGTTTGTAACTCCAAAAGAGATTGTGTGTGAACTGTATTAACCTAAGTATGAAGAAAAAAAAAAAAGCTGTCTTGCGAAACAGCATTTACACACAAATATATCATGCCTTCAAACAGCTGCTTGTCTTGGAACAGATACGGTGTCACTTTTCAACAACATCTTGAAATCAATAGGGGGCAGTTAAAGGCAAGATTAGAATCAGAGCTCTTTTCCAGCCAAGTTTGACTCTTAAGTTGAAAATGCAGCTCCTCTCCTTCTATATTAACACAGCACTGCAGTCGCACAGCACTGCAGTCTAGCTCTGAACCTGCTTATTCATCGCTATGAAATTAAACAGAACAATGCTAAAATTGTGGGGCTTGTTTGCGCTCAGGGTGCTCAGGCACAGTCAGCCAAAGAATGCATGTATGCTCACAGAAAAATCTCAGCATGGGCCTTGCCTGCCCATGGGAGAGTATATGGAGGGATGCATATTGTTTTAAAATCTACAAAAATTAATTTCAAGTAAAGCCTTTGAGAATTGGTTCAGGTGGTTTTCTTCTCTCCTTGTCCTGTTGGCTGCCTGGCACTCATGTACCCACAGCATTTACAATGGCTGCTATACAAAGATGCATCTTCTACAAAAGCATTGGCAAGTGATAAATAATAATGGGCAGGCAAATTGGTCATTCCTCTCTAGACATGTGTTAATTCAAGAAATGCCATATAATGGAATGGAACAGGGTACATTTCAGTGGAATCTACAAATAAGAGGTTTGTGATTAGAACCTCTTCCCTCCAGACTCTGAGGTAGATACCAAAGGTCAAACTTCATGGATAAATTTGATTTCTATGATCACTCCTTCACCCCCAAAAAAGTCCTCCACTCCACTTGAAGCATGCACTCAGGCTTTGTGCCTCTGACCCACTGTTGTGAATAGAAAGCAAATTTATAATGGAATTATATATGCATGACTACATTTTCTGGAATAAAAATTCCATAACTTCAATTTTTGTAATTATCATTTTACTCTTTACTCTTTCCAGAACCTGGAGAATGAGATAAACAGTCGGGATGCTTTGACCAAAGCAGTGATCAGTACAGGACAGAAACTGGTGAGGGGAGGCCACTCAGCCTCTCGTAAGATTACAGAGCATCTGAAGGAGCTTGAGACTTCTGTAGAGGTCTTGAAGGCAGAGGCTCAAGAGAGGAGACAGAGGCTTATGCAGTCCTATGAGGCCCATCTGTTCCTAAATGAGGTAAAGATTTATTTTGAGAGATTTATTTTGGCCTCTCTTTTCTTAAAACAACTGACACCTATATTGAATGGATGTAAGTGTGCAGAAAGGAGCACAGTTTACACTGCCCTGATTTTTCCTATCTGGTAAATATGGATACAGTGAAGAAATTACAATTACTTTCCCAACTAATCACAGTGAGTAACATTTAACTGCAATTACTGGATTCTGGTACACATTTTTTGGAACAGCTAGATTGAATTAGAGGAAGTCACCTAAAGGTACTCTCTATTTTCACTGATGCATCAGTGCACCACTGCTTTCAGTTTTTTCTGTCTTGACCCAAATCAAGCTGTGTTAAGGCTCATCCCTGTATTTTATACAGCTGCTGGAGGTGGAGGCATGGCTGGCAGAGAGGAGTTTCATTCTGGAGACCTCTGATTATGGGAAGAATGAAGAATCCACACAAGTTTTGCTTCGCAAACTTGAAGCTACCAAACTGGACATGGATAGTTTCAGGTCGCGGATTGAGAAAGTACAGGAGACAGGTGCCAGCTTAATAAACAAAGACAGTCCAGAGAGGTAGGAAAGTAAAAACAGATTTCTCCTCCAGGTCTAACAGAAACCCCCAGAGAAGTCAAATACAGAAAAGTTCAACTATGTTTGATGGCTCATTCAAAAGTAAGACTTCAGGGATCATCTATCCCTCCATCATCATCATCACACACACTGAGCTCCCCAAAAGCTTGAAGATGAATATTTTCATGAGATTTTTTATTTCTAACAACAGTCCAATTAATGAAGATCAGTTCTTTGTCCATTGTCTACTCCCAGGAACTAGTCATCTATCTCTAATTTACCACAAATATTCAAAAACCACCGTGCTTGGGAAAGGAAATAAATATTACTGACAGTTCATTGTTTTTCATTGAAAGTTTGTTTTTATACCTGGGGAGGAGGAAGGAAAAAGACCAACTAGTTTTTATGATATACTTTAATTTCCTGACCTAGCTGCTCTAATGGCACAGCATAACTCACTCCATGATGTTATCTGGTTTATCTGTATTTTAAAGGTGTTGCAAATTAAACCTGTAAGAAAAAACAGTCTTTAAAAAGAACAATAAAACATACTTTTTGCTTCCTATCCTTTGCAGTTCAGTAATACTTTCAAAGCTCCAGGGGATCCTAGCAGACTATCAGTCTCTCCTACAGAAGTCTGACACCCAGAGAAAACGCCTGCAAGAACAATTCCAGCTCTATCAGTTTGAAAGAGAATTCCAGCTGGTGGATGCATGGCTTTCCAGTAAACTGTCTGTAGCAGAGTCAGACGACTATGGGCAGGACTTAGATGATGTTGAGGTAAAAGAAAATAAAAGGTATTGCATGTATTGTGTGGCAAAGCAGGGATTTGCTGTCATTTTTGTGTAGCTGCTGACAGTGAAGCATGTTACAGTGACAAAAACTAAACAGAGCTGTTATCTCTACAGCAAGAACTCAGACTGGTTTCTGTCTGCTTTGACAGGGTCACTGAGGCAGCATCCTCCAACAGAAAATTAGATGTATCAGAAAATTAGCTTTTCTTGGGATAAGGTGAGGTCAGCACATTTCATTGCTTGCCCTGCAAAATAAATTTGACAGGACCTAAAAAATTTGACTATGGTCAAAAACACTGGGCTGCAGCATTCATATTTCTTGCTGCTGATTTCAAGGATAAATTTCTCCTTGAGACACACAGTGCAGAGAGGTATAATTAGTAGTGTCCACTCCTCCTAGGAACTACAGCATATGTAAACAAGTTTTGTTCATTAGCTTTTGATCTGGGCAACTTCTGCTTGTCAGGATGCGGTTCATTTTTCCCAGTGACACAGAATGTTAAATGATCAAGACAACAGGATGTCTTCTTCTGACTCCAGATCATTTGGATTTATCAAATGATTTGCACCTGTAGATTGTAGTACATAGCTTTTGTGTTATACAGAGCAGAGAAAGTGATTCCTTCTGTCTCGCTCATGGAGGTAGGCAGAAATTCTTTTATCTAAATCTGTGTTCCAATTTATTCTGCAGGTGCTGGAGAAAAAGTTTAAAGATTTTGAAAATGAGATGAAACCTCTGGGTCATTCCAAAGTTGCCTCCTTAAATGAGTTAGCATCTAAACTGGATAAGGAAGGCCACAGCAAGATGGATGTCATCCAAAAGAGAACTAAGCAAATCAATGAAATGTGGGAGACACTATGCAATGCCATTCAGCTAAGGACAGAGGTAGGAAACACATGAAAAACGGGGGCACTGATTTCCCTGCAGTCTCCCATGTCCTTTCTTTCCCAAACCAGTGCATTGCTCACGTTGAAACAAGGTTTGCAGAGGCAATGAGTACATTTTGTTCAATTTTTTTCTAGAGTCATTTCCCTTTACAGCCACTGCTTACCCTGCTCCTAGCAAGGCTAATACTTGAAAGATGTTTATCAGCTAGGAGTAATTGTTCTCCTTAATTCACTGCTAACTCCAGTTTCCTGAAAAACAAAGCAAATCCAACAGTTTGCCACCACTAACAGGAGTCTGGCTCTGCCACTTATCAGTCTCTTTATGGAACTACCTATTTAACAGTTTACTAAACATGATCAAAATTCTCCATGTTTTTGCTGAATTAGCTACTTGAAATCACAGAAGGTGTATGAAAGAGAATGTGATGGAGGACACAGAGACAACTCCCTACTTTTGGGCAGCAGTTAGGTGTTAAATCTGCTTAGTCCCTCTCAGGAAACTGAAGTCACAGATACATTTGGAAAAGCAGAGGTGACACACAGAACTCAATATTTTTGCTTGCTTTAAGGAGAATATAAAACACCAGATGTCCTCAATCTTTTTTTTCTTTCACTACTGTTGCATGACCTGTTGCATAGGAGGTAGCTCGAGCCCACTATTTCCTGTTAGCAGAAATAAATGCATGACAACTGTTAATATGGAGTTTGACTATAAACTAGTATTGGAACATTTTTTTTAATCCTCTCAATTCAGAAAAGTATGATTTTTGCTCAATTCCTTTTATTTTCACTTTTTGCAGTGTAGACCTTTATTTCAAGAAGTATTTTAAGACAATTTCTGTGATATAGAGAGCTACTTTTGGAGGGGAATTCATTCTCTGCATTTTGATAATTCCTCTCATGTAGGGATAAATTGCTCTTTGGAGACTTCTGTTTCTTTCCATTGTCCAACAGAACTTGGGGAAATTAGGTTAACACCTCACTTTCAGATGACTTAATGGGGAAGATGTTTCATTTCCTCTCAAAAGCCCCAGTCATTTTGTACTGCATTATGACATATTAGAGTTACCTTTTTTCATGTTGTAGACACAAGATGCTGTAGAGTATTACCATTAAATTACTTCTTTGTCCCAGAACCTAATAGCAGCCCATCAAGTTCACCAGTATGACCACGATGTGGATGAAGTAAAGGGCTGGATGCAGGAGAAGGAAGCAGTGGTGGATATAGAAGATTATGGATATGATCTTCCAGGTGTACAGACACTTCTCAGCCATCTTGAGGGAGTAGAGGTAAGAGGATCTGTGATGAAGCAGCAGCAGAAAAGCATAGGTGGCAAAAAAAAAAGGAGACTGACTCTTGACTAGTGCCTCTCAAGGGCCTTGCTTGCAAGACAAATTTATTGTACTCTTAAATATTCTTTGTGCCTCACAAAGAAGAGGGCCTTCTCCTCCTGCTTTTAACATTGGGATGTTATATTATATTATATTATTAATGCTTTTGCTTTTTATTGTATTATTAATGCTTTGGCTTTGAAGGATGAACTTCTCTTCTAAAATCTATTCCAAGCTGTTATTATAATTGCAAAGGTGACAGCTGAACTATAGGAAACTTCAGCTCCACATTTACCAAAAGAATCTGTCTCATGTCTAAAGAAGTTTCTTTTATGTTTGATGATGAATAGGGCATTACAGGAAAACTGAGAGGCATTCATATTTCCAGCCTCTGTACAGCCAGAGGGTAGAAAATATATGCACCATCGTTAAATCCACTTTTGATAGAACTAAGCAGTGACTTGGTCTTACAATCCAATGACTCTGTCTCCATTCCAGAGAGATCTAGGAGTCATCATGAAAGAGCTGGAACGGATCCGAGGAGACGCTTGGCACCTCAGCCGCACATACCCTCAAGTGAAGGAAAACATCATGGAGAGACTCACAGATGTGGATGAGTGCTGGGAAAACTTGGACAAAAAGTTTCTGGAGAGGAAGGCAAGACTGAGCCAGGCAGAACAAGTCCAGCTCTATTTCAATGACTGCAGGGAGCTGATGTATGTGTAGGCCCCTTGAGTTTGGCAGTGGGCCTTATTTCTCGTCTTTCCCATACAGGATTTTCTAAATTATAGCTGTTAGTTATTTGATTCCTGCCCCAGGTGCTCTGCAGTTTTCTTTGAAATCTCTTTGAATAATAATGCGTGGTATCTCCTCAACAGCACTTCACAGAATTTACCAGATATCAGAGGTGACCATAATGCCCCAGCACAGGGCATCATACACACCCTTTGTGTATGACAAAGACACTTTTTTGGACTAATTCCTAAACAGTCCTGGAGAATTCCATCCCTGTGGATAAATTTGGTCATTTCACAATTCCAGTTCAAAATACTGTTGATTCTGTAGGACAGGGTTAGATAGTGAAGTAATTTGTACACCTGCATAGACACCAGTGCCCCCTTTTCTCAGAGTAAAAGCAACTGCATTAAAGATAATCTCCTAGAATAAGTAATGAAAAAGTTCACCTGTGACAGGAGTAGAAATAGAGAGACAGTGAAATGGTTACCACTGACTATTGGACATTTACTATGCTAAGGGATAGATTCTGTGCTCAGGTAAATCATGCATTAGTTTGTGCCAGTTGAGAGTTATGGAGTAGAAAATGTTTCTTAAGAAGTATATATCAATATGCTTCTTTCCATGAGTAATCTTTGTGCATATGAAGTACTTTCATGTATGGTGGTAAGGTTTTGATGGGCATTTGAAAGCCTCTGTGTTCCTTTATAATGTATAAAATATTGTTAAAGTGTGTAGCCTAGGCAATTGCAATTATTTCTTTCTGATAATTTGAATGCAGAATGCTTCAGTACGTACAGATCTACATCTGTATTTTTAATAGGCTCTGTATGGAAACAGCACTGGGAATATTATAAATCCCCCAGATGTTTGAGTAAACCTTCATCAATGCATTTGTGTATTGCTATGGTTTAACCTCCCAGTCAGCAGCTAAGTACTTCCACAGCCAAGCCACTCACTCCCCCACATTCACAGTAGGATGGGGAAGAGGATCAGAAATTAAAACAAGCAAGCAAACCAAAAAAACCAACTAATTTGTTGAGATAAGAACACTCTAGCAATTAAAAAAAAAAAAGTAAAATATAATAGTACTAATGATGAAAAAAAAAGGAAAATAACCCTTCTTAAAACTACTGATAAACAATACAATTGTTCATCACCCACTCACTGGTTCCCAGCCTGTCCCTAAGCAGCCATTGGTCCCTTCTGGCCAGCTCCCCCCGGTTTATATACTGGGTATGATGTTCTATGGTGTGGTCAGAGCTGACCCTTTGGCCAGTTTGGGTCAGCTGTCCTGGCAGTGTTTCACCCCTTCCCAGCTGCTCCTGCACCTCCTCACTGGGAGAGCCTGGGAAACAGAAAATTCCTTGGCTTAGAGTAAGCTCTACCCAGCAACAGCCAAAACAGTGTGTTGTCAACATTATTCTCATGCTAAATCCCAATCTCAGCCCTGTACCAGTTACTAAGAACAGAATTAACTCTAATCAATATTAATACCTTTTGTGAGTAAATGAAAGTCTGTATACTTGTATCCACAGCCGTGGGATGTGTGCATCCCCAAATTTCCAACAGATTCAGATTCTTCTCCTTTTTACCCTTTGTCTGTGTTCTGTAGGGCCTGGGCCAACGAGATGCATGCTCTGGTGATATCTGAGGAACTGGCAAACGATGTCCTGGGAGCAGAACTGCTCATCAAGCGCCATGAGGAATACAAGCGTGAGATAGAGAAACAGTGGCTGAAATATGAAGAAATGCAGCGGGCAGGAGGTGACCTGATGAAGAATGGACATTTCATGTCTGAAGAGGTGTGTTGAAGAGTTAAATATTTTACAAGCAAGAGTGAACAAAGACATGAAACAGACAGAAGGTGCAGCTTTGTCTCTCAGAAAAACTGAACAGGATGATCAGGTTCTTTACTATTAAAAGCTATATAGTTCATGTGACACATAGAAAAAGAAAACACATTTTAAAGTTCTTATGCTACATCACAATGTAATTCCTCAGAAATGTCCAAAGGTGCAAGAATGTTAAAATTTCTGTGATTTTATTATCTGTGTGTCTTTAGACTTTGGCCAAGACATTGTCTGTAGATCCAGAGATCACACCAACAAAACCATCTTCAGAATTTATGCAGGATTACATTAATTCTGTTGTAGAAAGAACAAGACAACTTTCCACAGTTGAAGTCTCTCCATTGTTGCCTTGACCTAAGTGCATGCATTTGCTGAATCTTCTGGTTCTCACTAGCTTTATAGTACAAGTTGCCTGGGTATAAATTTTGGGAATTCATATGGCAGAATATTTGTCATACAGTATGTGGAATATGCCTAAAATTGTATTATCTAGCTACACAATTTACATGCTAAATTAATTCAAGTAGGAAAAAAGAGGACTCGGATATCTTTTCTAAATTATGCTAACACCACAAAATTTTCAAGAAGTCATCCTCTAAATCACGAGGACAGATAATGGACTGTCATGTGAAAGTCTGATTGGATTTTTCAGCTCCTGGCATTACACATACTATTTTTCTAGATTGAAGAAAAACTGTTAGAGCTGTCAGAGCTGATGAAGAAGGTAAAGGAGAGCTGGGACATGAGGAAAGCACTGTATGAAGAAAACTGGGAGATCCAATTGCTCCGCAGAGAGCTCGAACAAGCAGAAGCGTGGCTGGCTGCCAAGGAGAGCTTTCTTTCAGATCCCTCCTATGGGGTGAGTAACAGCCATGCAGCATTACTGAGCACTCTGTGCCCCTTAGCACATGCAGAGGGCCTGGTTCATGCATCAGCTCAGGCCTGAAATTAATCACAATCTCAAAAACAAACTGCCCTGAAGATTAGAAAGGGCAGGAACCCTGTCCTCTTGCAGAAGTGAGCCCAGGGCAGTTGCTGCATTTGACATGGTGATGGGCTCCTGGAAGTGGTGGCTTCCAGGGGGTGGTAGAAATCTTGTCAGATCATTTTTTCACATAACTCGCAGAAGGTTCAACCTTCCTTGTCTTGCTGAGAGCTTTTTCAAAAGGAAGAAAGGGTTTTCCCCACCTTGTAGGGGAAAAAAAAGGGGCTTTTCCCACCTTTTTCTTCCCATTAAGTGGTAAAATGTTCTACACAGGCAGCCTGATATCTGGCTCGTAAATTCCTTTTTACATACCAGCATCCATATTTTTGTTTATTTTGTTGGGTTTTTTCCCTCATTGTAGACTGTCTTCTGACAATTTATAAGATTGGAAAACTAAGTCATGAATTTGGGTATCACAAACTAAGCAGAGGACATGGAAGAAGTCTCCCCTGTAGTAGGGCAGGAACAAACTCTGCATCTAGCACAAGCTAGAGTCCAAGTACTCAATCTGTACATAAACAGTTCTAGCTGGAAGCCATGGTACTACACATCCTTGCAGAACAGGGAAGGCTGGTACTTGAGCTCTTTCTCTCCTACACAGCAGACAGACTGCAAGATGCAGACCTTTTTTAAAAATGTAGATTCAGATTTTTTCATACATCAACAGGGGTTTAGACATCCAGTTACAAAATTTTCAGAATCCTCACATGGCCAAATAGAATGGATCAATCTGAAAATCTTAGGCATAATGGCTCCTTAATGGACTTGATTTTGGACTTCTGTATGTGGTAATTTTTCCATTTAGGATTCAGTGTCTGAAGTAGAGGAATTACTGAAGAAACACCATGAGTTTGAGAAGATGCTTGCAGCACAGGAGGAGAAATTTGCTCAGCTCAGCAGGAAAACTAAGGTGAGTAATGGGAGGCTGATGAGCTGTGCATGAAACAGGATGATGTGGGTCATGGGTTGTTGGAATGTCACTCTGTGTAAGAGATGGGGCAAACGAGTAACCAAAGCTGAAATATTTCAGACATGGCAAGACCTGTATGTGGATCAAAAGAGATCAACTAGCTTGAAAAAGCTGTAGGGGAGAAGTGGAAATTTTCTTTTGTCAGGACCAGCAAAAAGGGTGTGAGAAACAGGGTGATCCCTTGCAACACAGGTGGAGAGATTTTGCTTCATTCAGGATTTCAGTAGGGAGCTGGAGCCACATGAAAGTGATAGAGGACAGCAAAGGGCCAAATATAAATGGAAATCAAGGCACAGATAGGCCTTTTTCATTCTGGCTTAAGATTTTTACAGTGGATTGTGTTAAATACCAAAGATACTCAGTGGGCCTCTCAGATTCTCTGTCATGGTGGGGGAGGTTTTTTAAGTGAATTTCCTGAAATAACCAGAAAAACATAATGGTTGTGCTTGATTTTAAGCTTAAGATTAATCTGTCTTTTGTTCAGTGATTTGCAAATTGGCTAAGGGAAGGGACAAAGGTCCTTCCCTCCTAAATTTTCCATGAGAACAACCCTGGGTACTCAGTGTTCTTACAGAAAACTTAAAGCAGTGCCTCAAGAAAAGTACCACAGTTTTTCCTTAGCTTATTAAAAAAAAAAAAAAATCAGCCTCCAGAGAACTTAGTAAGGGCAGAATTCGCCATATTTGAGGTTACTGCCATTACTATTCATGATTTGGGCAACAAAATAGTGCTCTAATAGCAGTTAGATTCAGATCTAACTCTAAGAATGCCACTGGAAGTGCAGGCCTTAAGATTCAGTTCCAGGAGATATTTTATTTGAAAAACTGTTCCTGCTTAAAATAAAAAAAAAAAATCTTAGGTAAGCATGAATGCACAAAGGTAATTAAAAAAAAAAAAAAAGTAATACTGATGTCCTACAGAGAGAGATGAATCTTCTGAAACAAGTGGACACTGAAGAGAGTGAGCAGAAGGATAAAGGCAAAGTTGTACGAGTTCCTTCTCTGAAAAGAAAACCATCTGACAAAAGGAATGCGCCACCAAAAGTGACAGAGATAAAGAGCACAACGCCACTGCCACCTGTGCCCACACACAGTGTGTCCTGGAAGGTCCCACTTGAAACTATTTTCTCCCCAGTTGAAAAATCTCCAACAAGGTTCCAAGAATTCACTTCCTTGGAAGTCCCTGAAGTGCTGAGCAGCAACAAAACAGAAATGAAAGCTGAGACAAGGCTCGGTGAGATTATCACTCCAGCTACACCAAAGATGGTAGGCCCACAGGCTGCATCTTTGGAAAGACACGGTTCTTCAGGCTCTCCTTTATCTCCTACTCCTATAAGCCAGCAACACAGCAGCAATTTGTCAGAATCACAAGCCACAGACTGCATATCTCCTCAGGAAAAAGGTGCTATAGGCTCCTCTTTCCCCAACCTGCAGACCAAACTAACAGCAGCACCACCCGAGCCTGGACAAAGGTCACTAGATAACTCACCAAACTTACTGCTGTCTAGCTCCTCTTGGGAGAGATTAAAGAATACATCTTCGGTAAGTCCCAGGAATTTCTGGTTCTCTCCTCACAAAACCACTATCATGTGCTAGTTTAAGGAAGGCAATAACAGGAAGATCTGTGTGAAAGTCACAAAGAGCACCATAGAGTGGGCATTCTGGTGGGTACACACCTGGATTCAAACAAGAAGCATTTTATGTGCCTTTGCAATTCAAACACTTTTCCACAAAGACTCTTGACTTAAGCTGCTATGTACAGCTTTAAACTACTTTTAATTTGCTAAGCTTTATAGCCTAGGTCTTAACAGCTATATTGGTTCCTGTTTTTCTTTTCCTGAACTAGAGGCTATTCCTGCTTGCTGAATACTCAGCAGAGCACTTAAAAACAGATGGGTCTCACAAAGAGGATGATTTACCTACACCCTCTGTGTGAGGTGGCAGTGCTTACTGTCCACTCATTTAGAAGTCAAAGAGAGGCAGGACTCCATGGCACACTTGTCAAAGAGCTGACCAGGTGCAAGACTAGAACCAACAACTCCTGCTTGCTTGTCCTGGCAGGAAATTCACTGTTAACTCATTGGCAGATAAAATTGTCCTTTTGCTTCTCTACTCTTGAGAGGAACACATCTCACATACCCAAGAGTACCAGTACTATACATTGGTGTAACTCAATAATTGTGGAGGTGGTATGGATAACTCAAACAATTTAAGTTGTAAAATGTATGTAATAATATAAAAATAGTGTTAGTTAATTATCACACTATGATAGAGCAAATTTCATAAGTAAATTGTTCGAGAAGGATTTGAATTATCTTCGTTTAGGTGGTTTATCAAAGATACAACTGCAACCTAGTGAGGATTTCCAGCTGTGCTGTCAATGTAAAGGATAGAGGAACCAGAGACCAGTTTCTTTGCATGGAATTTACCTAAAAAAGACCTTCAGAAGTTTAGCATAGGCCTAAGGGCTATTTTAAAGTTAAGTAGCAATGTTCTTGTATGTCTCAGGTTTCTGCAAGTCTCCAGAACATGGAGGGTTTCCTAGAGAAGCGAGACCAGCTCCTTCCACGAAGACAACAGGTAGAAATAAAAACCATCACTCTGGGTTATTTCATTTTTCCTTGAGTTATAGTCCAGATCTGGTCTGACTTCTTCAGGGTAAGCTCTTGCTGAAGAGGAGCTCAGTAGTGTGGGTTTTCTTCAGCTATCCCTAAAATGCATGAGGAAGTATCCCCTGGCTTTGGCAGTATCTGATCTCTCAGAAAAAGAGACAATGGGATTGTTACCTGTCACGGGAATCACGCAGAACAGGGTCTGTCTACAGTTAATGGATTTGTATACCAGAGTCTAGGCTGTACAAACATGTTAATTACAGTTTCTTAATTATAAACAATATATCAACTGGTTTCAATATATCAACTGGTTTCAATATATCAACTGAATTGGGGGAAAAAAAACCCAAATGAAACAACAAAAAAAACCCCCACAACAATCAGAAAAAACCATCACACCACAAAAAAACTCTAAAGCTTTATGATCCTGTAACAACTTGTGATAGTTTGTCAGTAGTGGAAGCCCTCGGTCTCATGCTCCCAATATTTGTAATTTCTAACTGTGCTAGAACAGAATTAAGGTTGTGTTTATCTTTGAAGAATTGGTTTGCTAAATACAGGTTTGAATAAAATGGAAAACTAAATTCTTATCCTGGGAAATAATGCCACTTCAAGTCAGTAGCATAACAATCACAACAGGCCAGGAAATTTTCTAACATTCACTAACAATCTGCAGACATCAATGTTTGCTGAGTGTTTGCACATAAGCAAGATTATTATGATAGACAGATATTATGTCTTGGATTATTTGTCCCATAGAATATTTCCTCTGAAATTTTAAACTTGAAATACCTCTTTTAAAAAGTGAATCTGGTATGGACTCCATCTTCTGGAAGAGAAATCTAGTTTTTCTTCACTTCTGAGCGCACAGAATTTAGTGTTCAGGAATACTGAACTTCCATATTACCCAAGAAGAAAAGCTATGACTTATCCTCCTCAGAACTGTTTCCTTCCTTCTCTCTGAATGACCAATTGTCAACTTTATTCACTGGCATAATAAAATACGAATAGAAGTTAAGGGTCCTTCACCAAGCAGAGTCTCATGGCACTAGGATAAGTTTCAGTGATACATAGTGATACATGGAAATACCTGCTGCATTTGCATGTTGTTCAGTAGTATTCCACTGGGGTTAGTTGAGTAAATGAAGAAGAATTCAGCATCCACATTAGATAGTAACAACACACTTGATAAAATTAACCTGTGACTAGCAGGCAGGGTCCAGTGTTACAGCTAGGGAAAAATGTGGAGTTTTAGTGGCCAAAAGTTAAACAGAACTCTGATTATCCACCCTCAGTGATGTTACTGACCACATGATGTAGAGCTTGCTTGAGCCAGGTTATGTCATTTTTTCAGTTCTGACTCATAGAGACCCTTTCTTGAATCACTCGCACAGAAACTAGAGCAGGTTCTGTTTTTCTAAGAGATAACAATGACTCTGAGAACTTCTGTGATCATAATATCGACAGATCCCGGGTTCCTGAGGTAGTTGTGTGAAAGATTTCACTATTCCTATAAAATATTTACTTCAGAACTGAATTTTATTACCATTTCTATTCATGTAGCCACACTCGAGGTCTTGGAACTCCTGCTATGTAAAACTTGATGGATTAAAGCTTGACTTCTATAATGATGACAAAGAAGCAACTAAGGTAATTTAGTTTTTTAATCTTTTTAGCAAACTTTGTATCTACATATGTAAAAATTAGTTTTAAAATGTCACCTTTGGTTTGGGGCTGGGGTGATCAGTGTCAACTGATTGAAAATTCAGCAGTTTGTCAACTGATACAACTTAAAACAGACTGATAAGCTTCCAGAAGTTTTCAAAGATACTTCTTTTAAGGTACATCTTATTCAAGGATTGTCTTCAAGATATAATGCCATCATCCTTGGTTCCTCTGTGGCTTATCCTATTCAGTGATCTTAGAATTAAAGTTAGAAGCATGAAGGGATGGGTGTGTAGACTGCCTGCAGGTAAGTATGGAATTGAATCCTAGCAGAAAGGACACAGAAGACATTTTATTTTCATTTTATCCCCCTTCAGAATGTATCCACAGTCCTGTCCCTCAACATTTCTGGTGCCAAATGTGAGAGGCTGGTGAATTACACCAGGAAAGAGAACGCCTTCATGCTGAGGTGAGTCTTACAGAAAAGGGCACGAGTAAAAGCCTGTGCAGCTCCCTGCCCACAGTCACCTAAGGCTGTGTGCTGTTAGGAGGCACAACTGAAGTGTCTCACACTCACAAGCACAGAAAGTATAAGGCAAAACTGACTAGAATTCACCTTTTTGTGTCCTTATTTACAGGCTTAGAGATGGGGCAGAGTATTTCTTTGCAGCACCTTCTCAGACACTGATGGAGGACTGGCTGCAATCACTACAGAATAATATAGGTATGTTCTCACTTCCTTCAAGAATGAGCTGTGCTTTTAGCAAGTGATGGTAAGAGAAAGAGAAGAGAATGACAAGATGTCCTTAGTTTAGGACATTCCGAGCCATCCTTTTTGGCTCTGTTAGAAAGCAATGCACAAGTCACCTTCTACCTTGTGATGTAGTGACCTGGCAGAGAAAAGCAGTCCAGGGTGACTTGCAAAGCAGTCTTTCAGTTGTACTGTGGCCAACCAATCAGGTTATTCCCTGACAGGCGCATGGGGCTGTTTTCATCCTCTTATTAAGGAGCTACTTTGGATTTGATCAACAGCTTTTCTTCTGAATCTACATCTCTTCTGGACATCCCTCTACATAGTGGCTTACTGGGAAGGAAGACATAGCATAATTATAACTATGATGGTCAGAGAAAATTGTTATGGACCCAGAGGTAGCAAACTCTGCCTCTAATGTTACTTTTTTTTGCTGGTTTTTTTGACTCTGTAGGACACAGTAACAGATCCCATTCTACAGTGATGGCGCAAAGTTTCATTTCAAACACAGAGACCTCCCAGAAAAGAGTTTGGGACTTTCCAGACAGGGACTCTGCTGAAAGGCTAACCAGCAAAAGCTCACTCCTGAGGTACGGGCTCTGTGCCACAAAGCTGAACAGATGTCAGTGCTGTTTGTGTTCAGGTAGCTGTCACCTACAAAGAGACTGCCCTGAGGTCAAAAAGTCCTGCTCCTCTGTCACTAAGGTGGCCAGCAGGAGCAAGGCAGTGATTGTCCCCCCGTACTTGGCACTGGTGAGGCAACACCTCTAGTGCTGTGTTCAGCTGTGAACCACTCACTTAAAGAAAACTGGAGCATATCCAGAGAAGAGCAATGAAGCTGGAGAATGGTCTGCAGAGCAACAGGTTCTCCTACCAGGAGAGGCTGAGGGAGCTGGGGTTGTTGAGACTGGGAAAAGGAGGCTCAGGGGAGACACAGGCAAGGAAAACACAGCCACAGCTGAATTCAGAATCCTGGCCTGTTTAAATCAATTTTTCTTGCATTTGGAGTCCATACAAATCTTACAGGCTATGACATGAAATCTGGTCCCACAGCTGGGCAGACTTTTGCTGCTGAGCTAGACACTTAATGAGTCCTTACATATACACAGAGTCTTAAACTCCTCTAGATTATACTTGATTTTCTGATGATACATTTTGTTGATAGGAGAACACCTTCCTTCAAAATCAAACCAGAGAGAGAGTCTGCAGAATTCTCCAGAGATCTTGAGAAAGATGGACCTGCTGTGACACAAGCCTCAATCACCACCCTAAGCCTAGAACAAAGTGGAAATAAAACAAAACTGCTTCCATCTCTACTAAAAGCAAGAAGAGAAAAATGACATTTGCCTCAATGAATTCCAGAGAATTATAACTTAACTCAGACCTCCGGAAATATATTAATATGTTTTAAGTTAATCACTTCCCTCTGAACTTTTAAAATTATGTATTTAATCTCATAAAATCTTTAAATATAATTAAACAGGATTGCATCTGGTATACTTTTGTGTGTACAACAAATTTGTAATTTGCCATTATCACCCAAGTGTTGTCTACTCCAAGGTACCAAAGGGCAGGGGGACCTTTAAGCCAGACTGCTCAAATTAAATAATTCTGTGAGATAGGAATGGGGAGCAGTGAGCAGAGCATGAGGTGCAAGCTGTGAGTTAACTACAGCCATGTGCAAGTAGATTTGCAGATACCAACAGAATAGATTTAAAAGGCTTGGGTGGTCTGTGCAGCCAAAGGTAACGTTATACACTTCCTACAGTGCTTTGTGGACTCCACAACCTTTTCTTTTTACAACACATTAACCAACAATTCTCTATTTGCCAATTCTTTCTGGATGAAGCTACCAGGAAAAAAAAAGGCCTGAGGTGTTACTCATTTTTAATGGAATCTGAAACTTAAATAAGGCATGAACAATGTGTTTCTGTGTAAAAGGAGAAGAAAAGTAGGATAGCAAGGAGGAAGTCTAGTCCCCAGACAGCAAGCTTCACATGCTAAGGTATGGTGCAATCATGGGGAATATATATTTTTCCCCCTACTTACTTGTTTCTGAGCCAAAGAAAAATTTCCTAGCATAAAGCTGGAGAGAAATGCCATTTTTCCCCCCAGGACAGTGTAGTGGCTGGCAGCTCTTCCCTGACATGTGGAAGCTAAAATGTCAAGTCCTTAACTCCTCTCACAAGGACTTCAGCCTTCATCCCTTTTTATGCAGTCTGAAGCATCCCTCTTGCTCTCTGCTTGCAGTCCTCTCCTCTGCACTACTTCTCCAGGGGTATAGGCACTTTACACCGGGTTCATATAAATACTTTATGGGCACATGCAACATCTAGAGTTTAAATTTGTGTTCAGTTTGATTCAGATCAGTCACAGGCATCCAACAGGTGAGCTAATAATTTCATTTTTTTGGCTAGTCCATCTCTCTTCTCTGTTTACCCCAGCTAGATATGCTGCCCGTAATAAAAAATGAAAAAACAAACAAACAAACAAACAACCCAGCACATCAAAGTAATGGGAAACTAATGCATTTCATCATTTTGACCATTTTTAACTGATTAAAAAAACCCCAAAACACCAAAACCGCTTCAGTATTTTAAGCTTACCATTTAATTGAACAAATTGGCTGTAGCTCAGTGCAGCTGCCTCCTTGCCACACCCTTTGCTATTCCACTGAAGGTTTTACCACAGGAGGGAGATTTTGTTCCAGGCTCTCCCTACCTTTGTAAACCAGATCTTCTCCCAGGTTTCTTCCATTCAGTCCTGAAACCAGTGAAGGCCCTGTGAAATTCTCAGCAGGGATTTAGCACAAGTAGCACTTATACACCCAGAAAAAAACTTGTCTTGTATTTAAGTGCATAAAGATTTTCATGGGTCTGGTGCTCCTTTGCAATATTTTATTTTTAATTAATGTATTATTAAACAGTTAAAAGACACAAGCAAGCAATTTCTATGAAGAGCAGCTAATAGTTTAAGTTTCATTTCCTTTGTGTTTGGCAGCAGGTAGCAAACTCTGTGGGGGTTTTCCAGCAAAATGTTCATCAGAGAGCAGCAATCTGGGGTGCATTTCAGATGAGGTTTTTGGCAGGGATGCATTCATCTTCAGTGGTTAAGCAAACACAACACCAGACCAGCAAGGCCTGGTTTATAAGTATGGCACGTGCCCTTTTTCGGTGAGATGCAGAGAAGCAGCTTTCTCCTGGAAGTACCTGCTTTGGTTTGCATGCACTCTTTTCAGTCACAGCACAATATGTGGTACTAGGCCAGGCAGGAATGGGGGCCAAGGAAGCAAAACAAACCACAGCCTCTGAGGAACAACCACACAAATTTCAGAGGCCTTTGGACTCCATGTTTACCCTAAAGGGAACAAGGACCAGTCCTGAGCACAGGTCACTGGTCAGCCTTATACTGAAACTACGCCTTAGATTTCTGTGGTTTTGGGGCAGTGCAAGTCAGCATGCTCTGAACCAGAGCTCAGGAGGGCTTTGAGGGACAACCTGTGCCAGCCACCGCTTCCCACAAGCTGCACGGACAAGACAGTGCGAAGTGTAGGTCCTTCCAACCTGCAGAGTTCTCCAGCAGCCTCTGTCCTCACAAATGCCCTCCAGGTCCTCCTACTACACCAACAAGCCAGCAACACACACCTTCAATGTCACAGAATCATAGAACCACTTAGGTTGGAAAAGACATCTACAGCCATCCAGTCCTATTGTTAACCCAGCACTGCCACGTCCACCACTGAACTGTGTTCCCATGTGCTACACCCACATCATGCTACAAAACCAGAAAGGCAACCCAGATGAAACAAAAAGGCACTCTGATGGGCAATGATACAGCCCTTGCATAATTTCAGGCTCTGAAATGCAAAAATATATTTGAAAAAGCTATTATCATTTAAGGCTACAGAGGTACCACATGCCTGTCTGTGCCTTTGGCTGCAAGATTACACAGCAATTCCCAACCTGACTTTAAGTGTTGGCAAAACCTATGGTGACAGCTCTCCCAGCAGAGTCACACCACCTTCCCCACCCTCAGCTCTCTCCCCACCACCCTCCTTCCCTCCCTTTGTAACAGGATTTAACAGTCCCTCAGAACAGTAATTCCCCACCAGCTGTGGGTTATCCTAAAACCTTGTGGTTTTGTGGCTCCTTCACATTTTACCAGGTCTTTCTGTTTGTATTAGCAGCACTGTGAATGCACCAAACATGCCCCACTTATTAGTCTGTGGGGCATTTTGAGAGACAAATTTTCTCAGTGTGGCTCAGCCACCTCGCTGCTGGGGACGTGCTGCCAAGGTTCACAAGGACTACAGATTCTTGTGTTCTCTGTATCCCACGAACACAACAGGGATATCTTTTTGCAGCAGCAGAGCTTTCTAGGACCAGCCAGGGGAGAATGGAAATGGTGCACACTCTGTGCCATGTGGGTTTGTATGTGCTACTCAATGCTGTGCCAGGACATGCTGCTCTCCTGTGCAAAGGTAGCAGATCCAGCTGGATCAATTCTCAACTCAAAATGGCTCTTTATGTTTTGTCTTGCAGCCAGTATCTGATTAGTTCTTAACTTCTCATGATCTGAATCCCAAAGTACAGTTGCATTCCAGCTGTTAAGGCTCCTCAGTTCTGGGTGATACTCCTTAGCTCAGCAAGTAATCATTGTACAAGAAGCATTGCTGAGGCTTAGCCATTGCCATTGCAGCAGAAGAAGCACTTAGTAAATACAGGCTTCAGGCAATCAGGTCTTTTGTAAATGCTCTCCCTTTGAGCTTCAATATCGCCTGTGTATACCAAAATGACAAACCCCTCTTCCTCATTCTTTGTCTGATTTTGGATTTCAAGTACAACTAATTCTAGATCTCAAGTAAATTTCCAACACAGAAGAAATATGTAAGGTTTTCCTTGGAAGTCCTGATGAATATGCTGTGTTTAGCATAAATAATCCAGAAGCAAGTCCAAATCCTTCAGTGTGAGGAAGTCTGCAAACTTCTGCCTTCTGTGCAGCTCTGTTTTATATTGCTCAGCATCCTTCCCTATCATCTTCTTTAAGTAGTGGAGAGCTATAAAGATATTCCAAGCTTCTAGCTCAAGGCAAAGTCTCTCACTGCATTCCAAAGCAAATTAAAAGCAGGTGTCATTTTCCAAATATTTTCCACCAGCAAGGAGGAAAATGTGTGCTCTCTTTTATGTAGCACCTATTCAAAATACTTTGCCTGTGATGTTAGGGATAGAAGACTATAAAGGGAAAAATCTTCTATGCGTGAAAATACAATGGCTCTGCACTCTATTAGTGAATTATGCTGTCCTACATCCTGTTTACATCTGTAGGAGAACCAGCTTATGTCTCAGTCATGACCACTAAATTAAATGTACTTGAGTCTATGGCAACTATTCCTTTCAAGTTTCTTCTATGAAAAACTTGTTTCAGGCTCTTGACATTTTAATCAGTAAAGGCATTGCTGATATAAATCAATATGATCACTTGTGCTTTATGCAGAGCTTTTCCTCCAGCCAATGCTCAAAAGAACTGTGCTCACTCACTGCTGCTACCACCCTCTCTCTTGAAATGTAGCCACCCCCTTCGTGGCAGTCTGGAGCAGCATTTCTGTGCCAAACTCTTGCAGGGGAATGGAAAAAAGGAGTAATTTCTAAATCAGCAAGGGGAATCGGCCAGACAGAGTACAACTGTCCACACTGCAGTTTGGCCACTGTTCACATATATATGCCTGACTTCAAAGCTGAGCCCACCAATTCAGTGCAAATTCTAGTTGCTCAGCCTATCTGAAAATCTGGACATCACTGAATGCAAATGGCCAGGACTTGATCTGTAATGAAGTATTGAAAGGACACTGACAATGGGCTCAGAGTTGAAGAGACAGGCTCATACAAAGAACTATCACCACCACCATATACTGTAACATCAAGGAGAGCCTGGGAGGTCTCTGCTAACCAGGACCCTAATTTCTTAACAAGACCACAGTGTGAGGCTCTTGTGGGCTTAAAACTTGGGGGAAGGAGATAAAATATCCCTTTTGAAAGCTAGGAGCTTGAACACAGCAAGGTGAGAAATGTACATGTTTCCTCAGTTTTCTGCAACTAATGAACACTGATGTGTTGTAATGTGAGTGTGATGTGTTGCAATGGGCTGCCATAGCCTTCAATGGGGAACAGTGCAAAAAACCCAGTTTAGGGGTATCCAGAGTAGCTGGAGAAATTCCCAGTCCTTCTGCTTCTCCTTCGTTCTACAGCACTCCTGATTGCTTGGAGGAGCAGGTCTTTGTTATTGAGGATATTGTATTTGCTCAGGTTCACAAGTTTATCAAAATTTTCAGAGGAGTAGATTAGCCTAATGAGGTAGTATGGTGAGCAGCTGTTCTCCAGATTTACTTTGCCTTCTTCCATCTCCGAGTGACCACGCTTTACCCCTGCAGAGAAGGACAAAAGCCACCACAGTGAAATGAATCTGGAGTATTATCAGAAAGTGTTGTAGGGGACTGATCTACTTGGCTGGACCCACTACTAAAAACAGCTCTCAGGAAATACTGCAAACCCACTCCACAGCTTGAAAGAGCCATTCCTGGTCAATTTTCCCAGCTACTCCTCCTTCCCCTCCTGCTAAAACTCAAGTCTGGAAATCCCTCAGCAGAGCTGGCACAAATTCTTGCATTCCTCCTTGTCCTGCCCCTGCAGACATCATTCCTGAGCAGCACGCCCATGGGTCCACATCCTTTCCCAAACCCTGTAAGTCTGACTCTCAAAGACACACACCTGGAACACTTAAAATCCATGACCACTGCTGGATTAGTGGTGGCAAGTGCATGTCTGCCAGCTAGAATGAGTGGACAGCCTAGTACATACAAGGAAGCCCTGTGATGCTAAGCACACAGGCCTGCCTGCTGCAGAGTGCAGAGGGACCAGAGCATCCTACATCAGACTCTCAGCAAACTCCAACCTGGCCTCAGGTTATGCCTCTTGGAATTGGCAACATCCATACTCTCCCTTATGTCAATGCTTTTGCTTAAAAGGACCCCCTAATTACCTGCACCAAGTCCTTTGGCAGTCTCATATTTACATTTCTACAAAATTTTTGGCTACATTTCTTTGCTGCTTTTTTTGTCTGTCTCCTTGCAGTCTGAACCAAATATTCCCAAAACACTAATGTAATGTGAGATGACTATCAGCAGGACTACAAAATGACTGCTGAGATATTCCTTATGATTTCAACCAGAACCTCATGAAAAAGACACAATAATTGTGCTTGAGACACTGCAGGTGTTAGTCTAACCTAGTGGTTTCTGAACAGCATGATGTCAGGGTGCTAGGCACAGGCTACCACTAGAAGTGGCTGAATTAAAAATATCCAATGGTGCTTCACTGAGCTTCACAATACTCAGAGAGATATATTATCTATGCTGTCCACATCCAGATAAAGCTGCATCTGCCTCAAGCACAAAAAAACATAGTTTGGAACTGCTGCACTGCAAATGGTGACTTCGCAGGCTGAGTCCTTTCAGAATTTAAATAGTTAAAAATAAGAAAAATAAGTACCCACATTCCACAAGATGTCTCTCATGCCCCTAGAAACAACAAGCTCCACTGTTAAATCTGAAATCCATGAAAGCAGGTTGCCAAGGACCCCCTCCTCCAACCACCCACACCAGTTGCTGGTTGTCAGTTTGATGGATGAATCACCGACTGCTCAGAGACATTCAGGTGAGTGTCAGAGCTCACCAGTTTGGGCCTGGAGCACAGAGAACAGCCAACAGCTGCTCTGCTCTGCAGTATGTCATCTATTTTTCATTCAGAGTGATTCCAAAATCTTCACCTGCTTTACCTGCAGGTAAAAGTACCTTTACTTTTTGCTGCTATTCCCAAATGCTCCCTCAGAGACCTCCATTTTGCTCTGATCCCACTTGGGGCCCCAGTAGAATTTTGGGTAAAGCTGGAAGAAGCTCCTCCTGGCACTTGAGCAGAGATAGCTGCACATCCCAGGCTGACCCCACATCTCTCTGCTCTGTCCCAGCTTCTACTAAACACTAAATGTAGTCTCTCCCACCTGGGCATGCTCCCCCTGCCCAGGTCCTGTACCCAAGTCTCTATCCCTCAAGGCCTGGGAAGGAGGGTCCCTCTGCACCTCTCTCTCCACCACAGACAGCCTGACTGGGGAAGGCAGGGGTGTAGGGCCAACCCTGGGGCTTGATGGCCCAAGGGCCAGCTCCTGCTGCTTTCTAGCCCACCAGCAGGTCCTTCAGGAGTCCCTTATCTCTCTGTTTTCACAGCTCTCTGCACCTTTCTTTACTCCCCCTCTTCCCAGTGCCAGAAAAACTCCAGCACTCTGCACATTCCTCTTGGCAGGACGTGGCGTCAGGCACAAGTGAGGAAGACCTGCAGCTCTGCTGCAAGGGACAGTGACATGAGCCATCTGCCACAGGCAGGGCTGGAGGAGGCAGTGTGGCACTGAGCTGCCCAGGACTGTGTCCTCTGTGCATTTCAAGAGGAGAGAAGCCAGCAGGAGTATGGAGGCTGCTCCTCTACCTGCCATGGGTGGACATGTAACACATGCCAGAGGTAGAGCGCAGGGCACAGTTCTGCTGACTGCATTTACCTGGCTCCTTGAATTCCTTAAAGGTGTCATTCACCAAGGGAAAATGGATTACTATAGGTGCTCTGGGGTCCTCTGCATCCGCAAATATATAACATTCCTTTGGGTTCTTCTCTTCTTCTGGACTTAGCTCCACTTTGGGGAATGGGATATTTTGTATCTTGCAATACTTGTATGTCATCTCTAATTGCTGTGGATACAGAATGTCATGAAGTTAAAACTCTATGAAAAGAATCATGTTTGCTCAGGTATCCTGGAAATATTGGGGCATCTTAACCCATTCCCTAGAAACACTATGAAAAGAACGTGTAGTCCAAGGTAGCCACAGTACAGCCTTACTTTCGACCACCACCCAGCCTAAGTCAGACAATGCCACTCATCACCCTATAATGTTTTCTACAAGCCCAAGTGAATGACCCAAAGTCACGGTCAGAATTCGTCATGACAGACCAGGAGAGGTCACAGGCATGTTCCAGCAAACTATTGTTACTGCAATTCCCTGAGGATTCTAGGAAGTATATGCTGTAATCCCCTACAGAAAAAAGAGCCTTACAGTTTCTGTAGTTCCATTCTTGAAAGAAGTTTCTTTCCTCCTGCTTATATTCATGGTGATATATGATTAAGATTTAGACAGCCACTTACTTAAAAGTTTCAATAAGACAAGTTATACTCTGCAAGGAGCAGAGTAAGTTAATCTTCTCACCTTGAACACATGCCCCAAACCATAATCAAGGGATATAATGACATCTACATTCCTCTCTGGCTTGAAAAGTGCTGCACCACTGGTGTTGATGAAATAGCCAACATCTATCAGACAAAGATATTTCTGCAGCGGTGTCAGATTGTTAGGGAAACCGTCCAGCACAGTGTCTGAAAAACAGTTTAATATAGTTAGTGGTGCATTTTTAGGAAAGGAGGAGTGAGTAATTCTGTCTGTGCTAAGGGGAGCTCCTTGGTCACCCTTAAGACCAGGGTCACCTCCCTCCACAATGTGAGCCCCCAAACACAGCCTCAAGAGCATGCCCTTCAAAGTGCACATCTGGGCACACCTGGCCTGTTTCCACACTCTCCCAGGCACACTCACAAAGGCAGGCAGGCCATGGGGCAGCCAGACAGAGGACAGGTGAGACACAGACTCCACTGACCTCACAGCTGCTCTGGGGAGTCATTTTTCACAGACTTCAACAGATTTTTTTTTCCCCCCTAAGAACTGGGAAAAATGCAAACAACAAAAACGATTTCACAGTGTAGCAACATAACTAAGAAATGCAATACATCATTGCACTTTTGCATTGCTCTTTTTTTGCTTTTGCCTTCTCAGGGTTAGACTCCTCTCTCAGGCTGAAAAGTCTGACTTCGACTTGCTTTTAGTAATCTCCTGTAAACTATAAGCCATGCTGTAAAAAAATACCACATCATGCATACAACATCACATACCAACAGCTTAAAATACTGCTTGAATTAATTAAACCTCACATAAATGCCAAAAGGGGATTACACCAACTGGTAAGTTGAAATCTAAAGCCAGTCTCTGATAGCTAGCATCTTACTTCTCTGCTAGGAGCCTCACCAGCTTGCCCTGTAGACAGCAAGTCCTCTACTGTTCCTCTAGCACACTTTCAGTCCCAGGGAGCAGGGAACATTTTGCCATAGTTTTAAATATCCAAATAGTGGTTTAAGAGTGTTCCTCAAGTTCACAAAATGAGGTAGCAGAGCCCAGAGCAGAACACTTGGCCCTTAAATCATGGTGTTTAGGCATTTTAAGAAACTGTTGATCACAGAAATACTGTTGATAAATTCCAGCATTGCAATTTATTCAATCACTCTGCTTCATTGGCCTCATTCCGTAGTGTTGATTTAAACCATGCAGAGTAATTCTAGCTTGTTCCATAGCCTGGAATGTTTCACACCAGCTTGAAGTAATAATTTGCAATTTTTCCATTCCCTCATAGTCAAGTCTTTACAAAATGTGCTTATTTTAGCATTCAAGGCTGCTGAGATTTCACAGATTCAACTGTAATAAGAGACATTTGCTTGCAGTCCCTCACAGAAGAAACAGAGCATTTATTTGGCCCGTGAACATTTTTAGATTAAATTCCATTACCACTGTTTTCTTATCACAGAGATAGAACTTTGAAGCATTTATTCATGGTTGTATATGTGAACAAGAAGTAGACATTTTTCTTGTTATAATCCCTTCTTCTATCCCACATTCAAATAGAGATTTTAAAGAATTGTCTCAGAAATACCCTTGGAAGCATGAATGCTACTGTAAATGCATTATGCTAATTCCAGACTATTAGTTCAATTTCTCATCAGGAAAATTAGGCATTGAAAGACTTGTTTTAATGTATCAACCTGAGCTGCAGGGAAGCCTTTAAAACTAAACTCTGTTTTCAAGACTTCATCTACCACAAGACTGTCATTTCTGCTCACAGACCTGGCATCTCCTCTTACTCCTAGAGATGGATCCATACTTGGGTTGATCTTACGCGGGCAACAAAAACGATGGGAAACCTGCTAATTTTTCCCACTCCAGACTTCCAGTTTCTCTCTTCCCACTCTGGATTTCATGCTTTTCACATATTTTACTTTATTTGTAGAATATCTACCCTGAGATAGTAATTAGTGTTCTTATGCTCACTTCCTTAAATCCTCCTTGAAATCTGCTTCTATCCATTTGTCTTTATAAAACTGTCAGCAAATATACAGACAGCTATGTTTTTTAACATTTACTGATTGACAATTTCATGCTTCATCCACCTTCTGAAGCTACTTGCTTGCTCCTTCTCTCACCCACCCTTCTTATGCTACTTGTTTTTTCTCCTTCTTTCATTTGTTTTCTTAGCAGACCCTTTTAGGACTTTTTGCTTGCTGAACATTTTAAAAGCAGATAGCACACTGTGGGCTCTGCCTTAATCCACAGGAAAGCACCACCACCTCTCACCATTGTCAGCAAAACTGTGTAGCAAGGGCAGAGAGCGACAAAACACATTGTAACTTGCCTAAAATGTGAGAGAAAATGCAACTTGCCAAAGAAAAGGCTCAAAGAAGGCAGAGAACACCTGCTTTCTTGCTAAAGTCAGATTAACCTCAATAATGTGGGGTCCTCCCACATTGCTACTTGTTCATGGAATAAATGAAGATGCTGGGATTATAGGAAAGTTTCTGATGCAGAAAACCTCAGCTCCATCACCTTGCTATCATTTCACAGATTGCTTCATAGGTTTTGAGGTAAAAGCATTGCTGTTTCCTCCACCTGCCTACAGAGAAAAGGCCATAGAAAATCACTCTTCAACTTATACGTCATGTCTATGTACCTGTTTGTTTAACATTTACAATCTAAACCTTTGTGACTTTAACTTTCTGTAGTTGGATTTTGGTATTTCTGTTTCTGAGGGGTTAAAGAGAGGTCTCTGGATGGATAATTTATCAGGCAGAAACACCAGACACATGGGCAATCACATCCTTGCAACTAGTCCTTTCCTTTATCTGATCCACATAATAACCTGCTGTTTTATGCTTCTGGTGTTACCTTTATTTCTTGACCTCAGTGGATTCTGCCCTTCCTACATCTTTTGACAACTGTACCTATGCAGAGTGACAAACTTCCCTTAGAAAAATATTTCTTTACACAAATTACAGGTATCTTCTGGAAGTGAGAGAGCAGCCCATGGATTAGTTCATTTTAGCCTGTTACCCTAAAGAAACAGACACCATGAACATGGGCCCAACTCAGTTGATTTCCAAACCCTGAAAAAAATAGGAGGTTTCCAAAGTCTAAAAAAACAAAATCTGAGATGTTACCTGCACAGTGCAGCTAACTCTTTGTTGCAGTTACCTTTCCATTCAATAAATTTTTTCTGATGGATATAATCCTTATGAAATTCTAAACCTCTCAGGAAGTTATGCGACTTTCCCAGTAGTGGACGCTTGGTCATAATGTCCTGAAACATTTCATACAACTTTCCTGACAAACAAGATGGAGGCTCGATAACAGTAATGTCTTCCTCAGGAGAATGTTTTTCTGAAATAGAGAAGAAACAATGAAATAGAGAAAAAAAACAACAGCAATCTGCCCTGCCAGAAACCTTTGCTGGCTGGCTGCCCTGGTTGTCTTCCTGTGGGTCCCTCTCATCCCTGCTTCTTGCAGGCTTGCAGGCTGCTGGAAAACATGTGCACATGGCCCATGTCATTTACCAAAGAGATATTTAGTTTTCTTTAAAGCAGGCACAGCTTTTGTGTTTTACTCTTTCAAATGACACAGTGGCTTTGTACTTTTGCCCACAAGTAAAAGCCAACCTCTCACAGGCAAAGTCATTTAACAGACCGTGAGGAAACTCTAAATGAAAAACATGAAGCATGCCTCTGGGGAAAAAAAGCGAAGAGAAAAGGACATAGCAATCATTCTGATAGAGATTAAAATCATGCTGGAAGATCCACAGTGAGGCAACACTTTAGAAACCCTTACCTATATCTACCATATCTTGGGACCACCGTTCCCAGAATTCATTCGAATTTGAGGACCAGTACAAGCCATCCAGCAAATTCCTAGTAAAGATGTTTGTCCAAAGACCTGCAAGTCAAACCACATGTGAAAAGTACTGCACTACCACATGTTAACCACTGACTATTGCAAACATCCATGCTACACATTATTAGCCCACCCAACCTGACCCCATCATGACACTACTTAAGCAGCAGGTCTCAGAGTTCAAACATAGTGGTGTAAGCACTTCAGTGCTCTTTCTCTGGAGGTAACTACACACAGAACATTCACTGCATAGTACAGAGTAACAAAACAAGAGGTATCAGTCACCCAAATGATGTTGTAGAAAGTTTCTTGTGTACTGTGAGAGAACCTAGGCTTGGAAAGCATGGTGAAGCCATGTAAGCCATGTAAAGGCCTTCTTTAAAACTGATTTATTATTTAAATTGATCTAAGACTCATTTTTTCCTTCCAGGCATGTTTTGTTTCTGCGGAGTACAACTGGTCCAGGTTCAAAATAGAATTGGCTCCATATGTGAGACTGCTTTTGGAAAAGTAAGAACTATCCTTCCTCATTAAGCTTTATGCCAGGTACTTACACGAGGAACAAATTGAATCTCTAGCACGCTTCACAGTGAGAGAAATATGGGGTTTTTTTTCCTCTACACTTGTTTTTGGTATCAAAACTACAACACTTATACAGATTTAAAACCTGCCTGGGACAGATGGGTTCCTTTGACTAGCTGCTTTTTCCCTTTCTTAACCTGTGGTGGGAAAACAACCAGTCAAAGTAGTTGCTGGAGGTCAAAAGGCCTTCCTTTGTTCTGATGAGCAGAGAAGATTGGTGACACCATCCTCAAGCTACAAATCTCAGGTAGCTCTTGCCTCTGTGGCTAGATGACATATTTGATTCTCAGCTCCTTCCAATTCTATCCCAGTAATACTTTGTCTAGAAATATAGTTTATGAAGTTGAAGAGTTGGAGACTGATCAGGAAAGGAACGCTTATTATTTCTTCAACCTGCCTCTCCCACCATCTTGTTTGATTTAGACAATGTAACAGGAAACATGCTGCAACTTTCCCAAATCTGTCCAGGTGGAAAAGGAGGACAGGAGGAAAGAAGATACACAAAGAGCAGAAGTGTATGAAAGGCATAAAAAGCTCATTGATTTAAGACCTAAAGCAGACATGCTGGCAAGGAATGTTGTGCCTGTGCCTAGCAAATATCATGCTTTCTATGATGCTGTGATTAACTGTATAGCAATGCTGTGTCACCTTCCAGATAGCAGATGCGAGATTCTGGCAGCTTCTTCACTCGCCTTCCCATGAAGAACTCGCTGTCAAAATATTCTGAAGGAATGGAGACTCCATATTTTGGTATGGCCACTTCATAAGGAGAGAAATCTGCCCACTCTACAAAGAATTCACATGAGACATGTTTGCTGCCATAAAAACAAAATCCCAAAACCTTCCCAAGGATCTTCCTTGTCTCAGCAGCTCTGTACTCTTCTGCACATTTGTACTGCAAGCTGCACCTTCTACTTGCATACAAACTGAGAGATTTGCAACCAAGAGGAACCAGCTTTTTCTACTCAGAAAAGCTCTAACATTAGGTTCAAATGCTTAGATATCTATTTCTATATAAAGATTCTGGGATCACACTTGCCTCTCTAAATCAAGAGCATCAAATGTGCTTCATGCAAGAGTGGTGTGAATTGCAAGGAGTGACTGGCATGAAAGCTCTATTAACCCAAAACTGCCAGTCTACAGGATATAACAAAGCAGCCTGAAGACACACCAACATCACAGTAGAAATTATCAGCGTGGCATGGATGTGGAGTTCCCTGGCTCAAGCTGTCCTGCACAGGCATTACAGTAGAACAGTGGCTAAAAACCTAAATAAACATAAGGACTAATCACTTTTCTTTCCAGTATCTACTGCTTTTAACACCTTTTGTTGAATGTGCCCTGTGTCCATTCAAAGGATGTCATATCACAGCAATCATACTCCACTCCATTTTCATACCTCCATCAGTGTCATATTTAGGAAGTAACAATTACATTTTGCAGCACCCCTAGAAACTAAGGAAACATCAAAGCCATTTTATAGGCATAGCAGGAAAAGATCTGATGATTTCCCCACACTCACAATGTCTGTTGCAAAAATAGGACTTCACCACAGATTTTTAATTAATGTCCTGTTTATGGCTGAGGATGTTATCCAGCAGATGTGTTCTTTCTAACCTACAACCCAGCAGTTTGCAAAAAAGACAAACATCTTATTAAAAGATGAATGCTGAGTCAGGGCAAGCCACAGATGTACTCCCTTTTTTCCTTTACATGTACGCATCTCCTGCAAAATCCACTTTAATCCATACCCAGAATCAGAAGAAACTCCAGGAACACTTACCTCTAAATTTGAAAGTACCAAACTTCTCTTTCACATTGAGGACTGCATAGAAAGGCAGTGGGTTTTGTCCATACTCCAATGCCTTGCGCTGGTCTGTGAGTTTGTACTTTCTTGGCTAATCAGTGAGATAAAAAAATGACTGTAAACCTCTGTAAGAGGATAACACAACCCAGCCAAGTAAAGATTTAAAGACTGATAACAGATATTTTACAACACAGAGAAATCTCTAAGTCACATTTTTGTAAGGGACCTTTTCCTTCATGTTCCTGCACTTTCTTTCTAGTTGCCCTTTGGGTACCTAGTAACTTTTTCATTAGAATGTCTAAGTGCCTTGACTGCCAGCATCCCACAGATCTTTACTGAAGCTGAGATTGATATTCACATGAGGACAGATTACTCTAACTTTTAAGTTTCAAACTAGCAACAGACTTCAAAAATCTGACTTTTCAGGGAGAGTGGGTGGAGGGAATTCCTCAGTTCTTTCTGGAAGTTTGCCTACTGAAATTGCTAGCTGTTGGGCACCCTAGAACAGAGGCACCTTCAAATGATTATCTGCTCTGAAAAATACTGGCTTCAAGATCCTCTGCCACAGTTTACAAACCACTATTTTCAGTCTCTTTGGATTTGTTACACCCATTACATCATGCTCTCAAAGAGTTAAGCTCTAAAGAAAGTAGGTGGCTGTTTCCCAGATGTGTGGCAATGTACCTACCTGTTCATGTAAGAACATCTCCTGAACAAGTGACCACAGAGTTGTAAAAGATGTCACATGTCCTGCTTTTGCCCTTTCAGCAAGTTCCTTGTGATAATACTTCAGATGGTCTATAGACATAAGGTTGAGTTTGCATTTTGTCACTTGTTCTTTTACTGCTTTAAGTGGTCCCTCCAGAGACTTCTGAGACCAGTCAGCATGCTCATACAGGTCTGCTAGGGTCCTAAGGAACAGAAATGTTAGAAAACAGCCCATTCATTTTGATGAGTTTTGAAAATTGATACATTTACACAATCACTTTCATCAATGAAAGAAAATCAGTGAGCCTAAACTGAAATTATAATTGAGAGCCAACAGTAAGAGCTTCACGAGGGAATTATGTTCACTTGTTAACAGTATAAGTCTTTGAAAGAGATGCATCTCTCACTGTGTGGAAAAGGAGTCACAGTCATCCCAAATCCCATCTCATTTTCTATACGTACCATGTTGAGCCAGAGGCCCCAGTGAGATAGGTGACACAGTCCAGCAGGTTTAGCTTCTGAAGAGCTAAGAGGTGGCCAAACATAGCTGACATTGCTCTGAGACCTCCGCCTGTTGCCATAACAGCTATTACTGGGACCTGTCCAAAACACGGGTATTATCCTCAGAAAGTTACTCCCTTGCTACTTGGAAAAGTCTAATTGCAGCGCTCAGAATTTCTTCAGCAGATTCATTGAAGGACGATGAATTAAATCACCACTTAGCCAGTCTTTACCAGTACCTTATTGAAATTAACCTCAAGATAGTCTTAACCCCAATGCTTGGATGAGTTTGAATATGCAGTCATTTTAACCTTCCTTTCTTCCTACCTTTGCTGTCTATAATTGGAATTGCAATGGTTAAGAATAGATAATTGTGATTTTACTATAAACAACAACAAATTGCAAGAAATGCAATTAAAATGGATTAAATACATTTTTTAAACTCTGCTGATTCTTTGGATAGCATTCATTTAACAAATATAATTCCAGTAAAAAAAATAAGTTTTCCCTTAAAAAGTCACCCTGGATGTTGGCAACAAAACGTACTTCAGCTTGTTATAAAATGTTCTAATTTTCTTTCTTCACCTCAAAAGATTTTTACTTTTGGTAAGAAGTGTTCTGAGAATGAAGAAAGAAAAAAGTAAGTCTAAAGAAATGACATCACACTGATTTAATAAGAATTTATGTGAGGTGATTTTCCAATACTCCTGTTTTCCTGTTGGTGTGGGTTGCCTGACTAGGCTGTATCTAACACAATGCCTCATGTCTTGCTGACTTGCATCACCATAGTATTGGAAACTGAAAAGATTGGAGGGGTGAATACTTGAGCTGAAATTTTACATGAGTATGGGGTATGTCACGCTGAGAGCCCCTGCTCTGCTGCCATTCAAATCAATGGATTTGTTATCAACGTGTAAATATTACTAGAAATTCCAAGGGGAGTAGTGCCAATCCCAATTCAATAGACCCACACCCCATGCTTGGATTCCAAAGCACAGACCTCATGCCCATGTAGATCACTTTCCAGGCGGAGAACCCTCTTCAGGGCACCAGCAACGACTCTCTTCCTCTTATGTAGGAACTCTTGCTCTCCTTGGCACAGATCATACCCTAAGCGCACATCTAATTTTTCTGTGCTGAAACATAAATAAATCCAGAGGCACAGAGTTGGTGTTTAAAATGTATATAGATCTATTTTCAGCAATTGCAATCTAACGAATTTTTAAAAAAATCCTGATTCCTTACTCTGATTTTATAGAAATGTATTTTTCATTTGCAAAGAAATCAACTTCTTTCCTTTTACATGGTCTCTTTATTGTTTCAGTGTAAGATTCACTGTCAGCTAAGGATAATAAATAGGAAAAACAAAGGGCTTCTGTGACTTAGCTGTAAGCTACTTCTGTAGCTTTGTAAGCTGAATCCTTTCTATTTCTGCTTCATATGATTTCTGAGCAAAGGATGACTTAAATCTAACAAAGTCTTTCACGGGCATTTGTGCTGCAGATTTATACAGAAACTGTACAAATGAAAAAGACATTCAAATAATTTTTGTTTGTTTCTTGTCTGACACATTATTTTACAATGCAACATTTTGTCTTCACTAGTTTATACTTCTTTCTCTTGTTATCACCAGAGCTACAAGTGTGTTTTTGTAAGAGAACTGTGTCCTTTGGGTAACGTATGGACTCTGATGTTCTTTCAAATATTATTTCAAATTCTCTTTTCCCTCTGCTGCCTTCTTGTGCCCTTCTTGAAGAAGCCTCCAGACTTAGTGTTTGGTTCTTTGTTGCAAAGGACACCCAGTGACGAAGTCCCTCACTGTTTGAAACTCTCATAATTTTTTTGCATTTTGGTGGGACTCTTTTGCTGCAAGGACATTTAGCTTTGAATTGTGATGACTCCTTAATGATGACTTAAATGTTGCTACATTTTGCCCCTAGTCTTGTGCATTCCTTATATCTAAATAAAGGATAAACTCTGTTCTAGATTTCACAGTTCAAAGAGCAGTAAAATCTTTAGAGAAAAAACCAAACCAGTTCTCTTACCAATCATTTAGCTGGAGGTACAACTGTAGTGGCACATTCTGTAAACAGAGAGACGAGAGCAGGAACATGAATGGTGGGAAAAAAAGAAGTTTTGAATACAGATTTTCAGTCTTCCAGTCCAGAGGATTTCAGCCCCCTTGAAAGTCCCACCACTGCCACCCTGCATGCTTTTCAGTTTTTTGTTGTTTTGGGTTTGGGTTTTTTTAATTAATTAATTAATTAATTAATTTTTTAAAATTAATTTATTAATGTGTTAAATAGTGAGGGTTATTCTACTCTTCTTTCCAGACATAAATTATGAAACACTTACATGTCTTATAGGAAGGGTTACTTTCACTTTATGTCCAACAGGGAGAAATTTCAGTGGTACCGTTAAGGTGTCACTTAAATTGCTGTTGTCATCTTCCTTATCAGAAACTTTCTACACAAAACAAAAAGCATGGGTTTTATTCACAGAACAAAAACAATGCAGTTCTTTGCTGCTTTGATCACTCTGGAAGTAAGCAAGCAGTATGAACAGTAGCATTCTGTAGTGCTCATTACCTGCAGCCTGACTTTTAGAATTGGCTCCCAAACCTTCAAGCAATGGAAGTAGAAAGTGTCAGTGTCCTCTGTCGTCTTCTGTGTCCTCTCATGAGATGCAGGCACCGTAAGTACAAGATTTTTACCCTCTAGTAAAAACAGGTTTGTTTAGAGAACAATACTACTGTTCGGGCAAAATAGCTAACAGAGTTGGCAAACTTTCTGCCGGAACAATTTTCTGTGGTAGCTCCTCTGTAAGCTACCCCACCAACAAGTCTCCTACAGCACAGGACTTGGAACTCCTGCCTTTACCCCCATAGCTTGGAGTGCTCCCAGAGTCAGCACTCTCTTACTTCCACCAGCAAAGTCTACTGTGTCCAGACTTGATAGGTCCAAGGAAAAGACACAGAGATCAGTTCAGGGCATTTCAATGCATTGCATTTTATTATTTAGATCATATATCACTATCTATATATAACTTAGAACATTCTTATTGTCTCTGTACTCTAAAATGCTTCCATCTGCATCTGAATGAGTAGAATAGGTTTGGTTTGGTCATGCCCTCAGTTCACAGAGAAATTGCCATACCTTTCAAATATTTCCTGCTTTCATGGATGTCCACATGCACTTCCAAGCAGCAAACCTCACGGGACTGTAAAAGGCAGGAAGGAAAAGGGTGAAGAAAGCGAGTAACACATCTGCTGCAAATAATGAAACATCATGCAGACAACCACCACCTACAATACAGAGCAAACTGAACTGGTCTCAGTGCTGGGAGCAACCCAAGAGAAAATTCAGAGCTCATTATTCTAGGACAGTAGCCCAAGTTGCACTGCTTCAGAGTGCCAATACAGTGATGCATTGTCAGAGATTGTTAACACATTCAAATTATCCCAAAATCAGGAAACTCTGTACAACACACTGGTGCCCAAACACATATATCTAATAATTATTTAGGAAGGGTGGGGGGGAAATACCTGATGATGAGTTTCTGTATATTGTGGCAGTGATTAGTCTACAAAGCATCTTCTTATTGGCCCTGATGTAGGGAAATCATGGATTCATTCCACCCTACCCTCCACCTGAGTCACTACAGTTCACCTCATGCCAGGACAGTTTTCCAATTTATTTCAGGAACAATGCATGCCAATCATTGCAACTCTTGTGCCTCACACAGAAAATGAGGGGAAAAGAATAGAACATGTGTTACTTTGCCTCAGGGGTATCAAGGGCTAGCATCTGGGAACCACACACCAGCTTGGAGCAGATGGCATGAAGTACTTGGTACTCCTTAGCTGCTGGGCCAGCCTGAGGAGACAGGCAATGCACCACATGCTGACTAACACCAAAACAGGGCTCTGTGCTTCAACAACTAAAATAACTCTTAAAAAACTCACTTCCCAAAAAAGCTGTTATATTAGATACCCTTCCAGTCACAAGCACACTAAATACCTACTATTGTCTTCTACAGACCTTTTATAACTTTGGTTTTTCCTGCCAAATGCCATGCTGTGTTATGAGAAGCACAATCTGTTTCCACTTTGAGCACCAATAAATATGGGCAAGAGTAACAAACCACAGCTTGGCAACACATTAACATCTGTAATAGCTGAGGACTTCAAAAACACATCTTCTGTTTTTGTATGGAGAGGGCAGCAGTTGAGCTGCAACAAAAGGGCACTGTCCCATATCTCTGACTTTAAAATGCACACCATGCTCTTATCTACCATGGTAGGTTGTGTTCTATCTATAAAAAGGGGGGAAGAGGAGAGGATCAAAATGAAGCAGATGTCACTCCAAGATAAATTCTCACGTGAACCTTACCACTAGGACATCATTGGTAATGAGACGCTCTGGAGGGCCAGGACTGAAAAGACAAAAACAAATAACAAATTAAAATAAGCTGTGTGAATAGGTGGATTTTGGTGTGTTTAGTTTTCTGTATAGCAGTTATATGACCTTTCCCACTTAGAATTGGATATATGTAAGTTATCACAATTTGTTTTCTAAAAGGAAAAATACATGATGCCCTGCTAAGCACGTGAACCAAAATACAACAGCCAAACAAAAAGAAATCCCATAAAAATATTGATGCTTACAACTATGTGCTAGGTTACAGCAGAACAAAGTCATATTGGTATATGTGGAATCATGTCCTGCTATTAACAAATGACCATATGACTTGGGGAAAGCAAAGACTACTATTAATGTGTTCTGCAAACATTTATTAGGAAAGAAATTTCTGACTAGTTCATATTATAACTTATGGCTGATCACAAATGAATGGCAAATAAGAATTAGCTCCCACTGTGCTATATGTATGACTGCAAAACATAGAGGTAAGCAATAAGAAATCTTTGTCCCAGATATTTTACCTTATAAGACCTTGGCCTGTCACTGAATGGATGTGGTTATTTAATAATATGAGTAATCTGTAGAGTCTACTAACAGCATCTTTCACTAAGGCAAATATTCCAACACCCCTGTGTTACACACATTCATAAATGCTTTCATATATCTGAAAGGGCCATTGAAATTATGTAGTACATAACCTTTGTATATCCAGGTTATATATATATATTTTTTTTTTTTTTTTTTTTTTACTCTCTGGCAGATCTACACCTTCTAGCCTTGGAATTTTACTCACATTCTCTCCATCCAGAATTCCACTTCCAAACTTTCCCATTTCTTAGGGCACCTCTCTGTCTAAAAAGAAAAGTGTAAAATAAATATAGATTATTGAAGGCTGCAAGAATTTGGCAGCAGAGACACACCTAAAAAGCACTTCAAGGCCTGACATCTCTTCTGCTAGTGATACCAAAAAAAAGTTTGTTGTATCTTTCCAAAACTGAAATTGCAGCAGAAACCACAGACTTGTGAAAGGAACATAAGATTAATAATCTCCCATTGTGTGATATGTAGAATTCTACATATTTCCAAAGATACAATCAGAGAGGGAAAGCTTGATTGAAAAGGAAATATAATGGCTCTCTGCAAGATAATGTGGATGGGGGAAAGGCATTGAAAGCCCAGCAACAAATGCACTAAATCACATTTGAACTGAATCCAGAAGAGATGAATTAGGCAAGTGACTGAAGTGGTTATTGAATCATTGTATTTCCCAGTGACTCACCCACTGGCTGAGAAGTTGCACAGCCCCAGCCAGCAGGGTCACAAGGAAAACCCATGTTAACAGCTTTCAGCATGTGGGAAGTAGTTGCTTTTATGGATTGTCTCCTTCCTGTAATGAGTGTGTAGCAACACCTCAGCAACCGCTCAGACAAGCCCAGGAGTTGTCACAGACCTATCCCAGCTTTGTTTACTGGGAAACTCTCTTTCATGGGCTCCTTAATAAAATACCAAACATGTTAGCAGGACAGACATTCCTTTACTATGGGCTAGAGAAATCTGAATCAACTAGAAAGAAACCCAGCATGAACACCAACAGGGGAAAAAACCTGAAAGAATCATTTAATTCAAGTGATGAGTGAATAGTTTTCATGTTTTTAATAAATAAGTTGCCATTTAAGAGAAAATTTCCCCTAAGCATGGCAAAAGTGGGATAAAGCTGAAAGGTAAGGAAGTATTTATTTGAATTCTAAAAGATAAAAATTATCATTTACAGATGCTTCCCGTTAGAACATTTTGCCCTCAGAGAGCATGAGGGAGAAGCTGCTTAATTTTCTGAATTTGTAAAAAGAGATTCATGAAGTCACAAAAATAAAGAAAATTACATCTGTTGTGATGAGGTACTGAGAACAATATACAAGGCTACCTGCCCATGAAGATCCAAACCCAACTTAACATGGAAGACAACATGGACAATGAGGTCTTGTTGATCTCTCTCCCTGTGTTTCAGCCCTTACCTCTGATTTCAAAGCAAATGTCTCACGGACTGTCTCCCCAGGTCTGATTCTAGCAACATTAAAAAGAACTGTGAACTGCATGTCATCCTTGGTGAGTGGATCTTCATCACACACTGCCAATTCTAAAACATTCTGGTAACAGAAAAAATAAATAAGAACACTTATTGAGCTTCTGTTAGGCAGAAACAAAAAAAATTATTATAGATTTTTGCAACTGTTTCACTAGCAGAGCAGTAAGAATACAGAAGCATGGCTTTTCCTTCAGGAGTCTGCTACTGTAGAACATTATTACACCCAATCTTAGGAAATTTGTGAAATGGAAAACAACTACCTATAATAGAGGTTCCCACTCTCCCAAGAAAGAAAATATGCCAGTGCTCTGCACCCCACTACCCACCCAAAGAACAGAGTTTCTTCATTAACAAAGTTCTACAAATTCCACAATTTAGGGAAGAATTACATTTGTTGTCTACACCACAGCAACTTCTCTACTGTTCCCTTAGAACCAGTGGAGGGAAAGCTCTTTCAAAGTTAGCCATACCAAAATAGCACAGAAGTATACTACAACAGCGCTTATTTCACTTGGGTGACAACAAAGGGAGTCTGGACTTACTTAGATACAGGCATTTACATCACCAATGTCTGTAAATCGCTGAGAAAAACACTACTTCTTATGTCCACTGTTCTGTGCAAACCAGTCTGTTAAGCAAGCATTTTCTTAAGTTATTTAGCACAGTTGATCAATGCGATGTCAGCTGAGGATTCCCAGTTATTCAAATTGGTGAAAATTCTATTTTTTTACTACCTCAACTTCCCTCTGGATCCTAAAGTAGAAAGTCTCGTTCCAGACAGGGTTGTCAGAATTCTTGATGGTTTTGGTCTGAAGCTTTCCAGGTGAAGCAGACGGCAGCCACAAGCGTACATAGCAGTCAGATGCAGTCACTGCAGCAGAGAAAAATTAAAAACCTGATGGCAATATTATAGATGAACAGTAGGGCTAGGCCATTATCCTGGAGATGAATAAATATAACTACTGTTTATTTTTTATTAGTAAAGAGATCACCATTTGGAAACAACCAAGGAAAACCATCTAATTCCTGAGTAACTACAAACTGCAAATTTACACATGCACAGGCAAAGTACGCTAAGAGCCACGTTTGCCATGTGAAGAGAAAGAGGAAAGTGGACTATGCCCACTGACCATTCCTCAGGCATAGTCCTTACAATTCCAGTCAACAATGTTAAAAAGTTAAACTGAAACTACAGCTGGCTCCACAAAGGGCTGTTAGGATGATTACAGGAAAGGAGAATGCATTCTACAGCAAAGGTCAGAGACTGGCTTGCTCAGTTGAGTCACACAAGCATGCGGAGGGGACATAGTGGCTGTCTAGAGGTGTTAGGCACTAGGCAAGATGATCTGTTGCAGCTCAAGGCCAGCGTGGGCCCAAGAACTGGAGGGCACAAGCAAGTTGGAAATCTTCCTTCCATTTCCATCCTATATCTATTCCTTATGGTTAGTGTGGTCAGTGCCTCGAGCAGCCATCCTTTGGGGAGAGCCAGGGTGGGGAAGCGCATTTACTTTGTGAAGCTTGACAACGGTGTGAAAGGAAATCTCCAAGGTGATGTCTTTCAGAGCTGGAGTCAGGACTTGACGGAAGATTTCTACTGCAGCCCGAGATGCCTAAATACTTCAGACTGGTATCAAGCAGTGAATAACATTGCCCCGCAAGGTTTTGGCACGAAAGTGGAACTGTCCCTTCAATAGAGTAGATAGAAGAGATCATTGAAACTCAGAAGTACAGGCCTTGTCACACTAACACCTTTCTAGTGTCCACCTCTGGATGGTGCTATGTGGCATTTGCCACTGGAGCACAGGCAGCCTTCGGCAGGCATTTACTCAGCCAACAGGGGTTTCACTCCCTCTGGTCTCCCTCACTTCCAGGCTCGGCCCTGCATGGCAAGGCATGGATGGTCTCAGCTGTAACTCGAGTAAATGAATGCAAAGTGATGCTTTTTTATGCTGAGTGAGTCATTTTTTGCTAGAGGAATATACAGGCCAGAAGTTTCAAAACTGACAAAAGGCATCTCAATGCCTCTGTCCTAAATGAGGAACTCATTGGAGACCTCTGCAAAAATGGCAGCTGAATCCACAGCTGGTCCACAGCACACCTGGAGGAGGAGACATGGGAGGCTGTGAAGGGGAGATAATGAGTTAAAGACACTTGAACACAAAAGTACACAGAAAAGTCTGTTTTGCTTGAACGTTCAACCTTAGAACTGGATCTGCAGAGGTCCTCCTTAACCAAAATGATCAATATAATTTATTGTGACTGGTCATCTGAGAGCAGCAAATACCCTGAAAGTTATTTTAAAAGCCTTGAAATTCTCTAATTTACCATTGCTTATTATGCATAATTGGTACATTTCAATTAAAAGAACCCTAAATTCACAGCCTGTGTGGCCAAATTCCTGCCCAAGCAGATTCATGGATTGCAGTGTCTTAATGAAGTCTACTTTCTCTTCTTGGCTCAGAAAATTAATCTGGGCGTCTTATTTTTTGCCAGCTCCCTGAAATGCCATTAGAGATGTACTCCAATCAAATGATACCAGAGATATTTGATCTAATTATACCCCTGGCATTAGTATTTCTACTGCTGTGCTTTACGTACGCTGCTTGCATACCTTCAGAACTTAAGGATATTGCTCACTGTGTAAACTCTGGAGGTGACTAAAAACACAATCAAACCACAACTCACACAGGTCTCTTGACTTGATGTTCTTAGCTTGTATGATTCTTACAGAAAGCATGTGGATGGGGCAAAACTTCATCTGCAGAGAAAACAAATGCAATAATTTGATCAGCTCACAATACACAAACAAGATGCATTTTGAACAGTGCAGGGGACACTCTGCCCACGTCTGTTTGGAGTGAGCTGACCACCCTCAAGCTGAAGTACACCACGCTAAGGTGAAAACATAGTGGCACACTGGGCTGTTTGCTAAGGAGCTCGAGGAAATGAAGACAGAGAGAGAAAACTCGGGCTCAGACAATGGTGTGGAAAGCAGTGTTATTCACCCCAGAGGCACTTGTTTTCAGGCAACCTGATGCACGTATGGCCACAGTGACGGTCGTACTGCCGACACCCCAAGGGTCCAATGCCACCCGCAGGTCACAACGGGGCCTTTGAAGGGGATGTTAGGAATTGCAGGTGCCTGTCCAGGCCATGCCACTGCTGACCTACCTAGGCCAGGACATGGTACTTACCAAAATGCACTATGAACTTCTGACTTTGTATCTGAGCTAAGATTGAATTTCTGTGATGCTTGTAAGCAGGGCAAGCTCACCAAATGGCCCTGCTGACTTGGAGGGAACAGACCACAGGCCCAGCAGAGACCCTTCAGACAAAATAAAAACTGCCCTGCTTTGCAGGTGTGATATCACAGAATTCCGTATCATGTATCCTGAAAATACCTAATGAGAATGGAAGCACTTCCCTTCCAGACATGAGATTTATTTCTATCACAGGCAGGCTACTTGCCTACTACTTTGAAGTTACTTGTACCTAACTCTTGACAGTTAAGCTTTCCAGGTTAAGCTATTCAGAAAATACTTGCCATTTTCAAAAAGATGTTCTGATGAGCATGAATGAACACATATATAAATGTAACAATCTTAATAACAGAAACAGGGAAAATATTTAAATCTTTTTGATTTAAATTAAATTGATACATTTAAATTTCCTTTTAATCTTCTGTTAGTTTGTTGTTGGTGGTGTTTTTTTGGTTGTTTTTCTTGCATGCCATACTAGCATGGCTTGTCAGCAATATTAAGTATAACATGCAGCTATTACAGTACCACTACCACTAATAAATTAAAACTTAAAGCTCAAACTACCAACTGAAATATTATGTCTATTTGCATAAACAGGAAATCTCATTACACTGTCACTAAATAATTTGACCATTTTATTTTGAAAGTTAGCACCATGACTAATTTTCCTGACAAGGGAATTATTATCTCTGTAGATACACGCTGCTGGGAAAGGAGGAATCTCTCTACAGAAAGTCACTCACTACAGTTAATCTGAAATTCTTTTAAAATTAGGTGGAGACTATTGGACATGTTTATTAGAGATGAGAAATAAGCTATATTCAGCTTCATCCAGGCCTGTTTACAAGTAAATTATGTTACATAAGATGGATATAATCTGAACTGTGAATTAGCATGTTCAAATAAGGGCTTAATATTAAATTTTATTATGTCACCTAAAAGTTACATACTTTTTAAATTCAGATTAATATTTAAGATTTGCCCTGAGCAGAGATACCCTTGTTAAACCTATAAAATCACATTAGTCTGTCTCTTGGCTTGTATCAAAATGCAAAGCAAATTTGTTCTTGTGTGAAAAGAACTCTTTCTAGTATGTCTTCCTCTGAATTTTAAACTGACATATTTAAAACTTCCTTGGTTTAATGCATTGTGGACATTACAAGTTCTAATTGGGACACTTCCATATTATTCCAGTTGCCCGCTGAAAGAATTTGACTTTAATTTTCCTGTGCAAATAGTTATTTAACATAGAACTACCAGCTGGAACACTCACTCAGCATTCCTAGTGGTTTTCATTTACGTGAATTACTGGATTATGTAGACAATTACAGAGGTGACTAGTTTTAATTATTATGTTAATTTTTTGTCATTTTGTAATCAACTTCTCCCTTGCTCAACAGAAGCCCAAACCATTCACAGAACCTGCCTTCACTGAAGAAACAGATGTTGGCATAAAATTTGCTTTGAAACTATTTGTGATGAAAATTTCCTAACTGCTTATAAAAATGGTGCATCTGCAGGTCATCTTCAGAGTACTCTCAGATGTGACACATGTCATGTTCTCATCCTCTACAGCCAGAATGTCTCACTCCTCCTCCCTTCCTCTCCCAACAGCAATCACTCTCCTTACACATTTCAGCATTTGCCAAACATTGGAAACATCAACAAAGATGACTTTTCGCTCCTCCTGCTTCACTCCTAAGCTGATTCGGTGCAGCTTAGTCCTGGTGCTGTTGCAGGATAAAAGACAAACAGATTCAGATGGGAAAACGTGGCTGTAATAAACCCCGAGGGCTCTGTAAAGCCCACAAGGAAGCCAGAAACCATCCATCTCCCAAGACTGCAGTTACTCCAACCTGTGATAACCATTCAGAAGTGGGCTAATTCCTTTTTTCATCAGATAAAGGCAGAGCTAATTTTCAACAACAATCCAGAGCAGACTCCTAGGGTCTGATTTGGATGGTCTAAAATAACATCCTTGCCTGAAAGTGCTGGTACTCCAGAACACTCTTCTACAAAATATAATTACACTTAGAGGTACCATTTGCTATTTTCATAATACGAAAAGCAACATGTAGCTTCACAATTAATGCAACTTGATGAACACAGACACCCTGTCCAGATATCCCTTGACAGACTTGCAGCTCTTATCTTGCTGGTCTTGCTGGTTTTAGTTCACTTCCTTGGGAGAAACATGGTTTCTTGTACAGGCATGCAGAGAGTAACAAAACCCCATCTGTAATCACCCAGGGTCAAAGGAAGCTTTCCCAGAAGCACATTATTCTATTTTTGCTGGGAAATTACTAGAGTGACACTGAGGCCAACAAAAGAGTGCAGGATTCAGCTACCTGTGTACTCTTGCATCCTAAGCAATAACACTCCAGTCCAATAAATAGCAGCATCTCCAGAGTGCCAAAGGGAAGTCTAGAACTTGGAAAAAAAAAAGAAACCAACAAACTTCTTTTCACTTCACAGTATTTAGCATTAAACTGTATTTCTGTACTCTCAAACCAAGCCTTGAGAGACTCATTCTGTTGAAAATACAGAAAAGTCAGCAATCGGGAGATAAAACTAGCATGTCAGAACTGCCACAGCTGTATCAAACCCTAACAGACTGAAAATTCAGATCTTATTGATTGTAATAATACACACTCACTGACTTCCTTCCATAGGAATGTTGATCAGCTTTGGAAGGACACTCTTCTTTACAAGCAGTCAAGGTTTCGCTCCAAAAAGACAACTTTGAGCATATGAAATCTTCTCAAAGCTCATAAATATTGAGGAGCCTACCAAAACAGTCTGTGGATGGCAGTAAGAGAAGAAAAACCTACCAAGAGCTCATATGTTTGATTTCAGTCCTTATTGCCCCTCCATGCTGCGACTAGAAGATCATCTCATGGCTACCTTCACTAGAAAGTCAGTATTCTAGGGAAGTTTCTGCAGTCTGAGAACTTAATCCCATTAACTACCTGTTCTCTTCTTTTATTTTAAGTAAGTCCTTGGTTTGAACATGTTGGAAGGTTGTTCGGAATGTCAGTGTTTCATTCTCCCTGCACCAGGCTTAAGCAGCTCTCTGAGCAGAGTTATCACCATGGGATAACGCCAAACTACGTTAAACTTTAGATGAGGATTTTGCTGTCTTCTAATATTTTGAAAACAGACGTAGGATTTTTATACATATGTTTCAGACATGAATAATTACTTTTTTCATGGATTACTTCTTTCTCCAGTGATGTACTAGAAGCTATACCATATCTTGCCCACAAGATCTCATACCAAATGTTACTATTTGGCAGATTCTTACCATTATTTTATGTTAGATACTGAGGGTTTGGTCCAACTACAATTTGACAATTTACCAAATTGAGATTAAATCTATAAATGTATAAACTATAAGAAAGATTCATAACCAGCCTGGTTCTAAAGCACTCTCTTCCACATAGATCATGTAGTATGGGTTATTAGCCTTTCCATCAGTGAGAAAACTGCTAGAAATTTGTCTTTCCAACCAGCTGCCTACTTCCATTAAAACTAAAGGGATGAAAAGTTCCAGTGGAAAAAGTGACTGACTGAAGAAATACAGAAAACTATAAGAGTCATTTTGCTTGGGAATCACAGTTGTCTCAAATTTTATCATTGAAAGCTGAACAGTTAGTGAGGAAACCTAATTCATCTTACAAACATAGACTGTAATTTCATGTAATCACAGATGGATGACTTCAAGAATCATTGTTGATTCGGGATGTCTCTCCTGTTCATATATATCAGTCACTTCTTTACACATATGAGTGGGTCCCTCGGGGCTTTGAATTGACAAAATTTCTGAGTATTTTACCAGATGGAAATTATTCCATAGTCCACAAAATAAAACTTAAGCCATCCCTTCAAGCTACTGATATTTTTCTAATCTTTAACTTTGCCTGCAAATATTACCATGGCACAATTAATGATCTCTATAGGTTGTTGCATGTAACGTTGTTTCTCACTATATTTTAAGCCCATGAATGCCCATACTTTTTTTTTTATTTTTTCTTTTATTTCTTGCAAAATTTGATGAAGGGTTTGATACATAAAGAATTATTATCTGTAAATAATTCATGCCTCGCATTCAGACACCATGCCTATTATTTTTTTAAGATATACATGAGAAAAGAACCTTCAGATAATAGTTCTGTTAATTTATACTAAAAGCCACCAGTTAAAATCTCTGAATGGAACTTGCTATTAGAAAACTCAAGTCCAGACATGAAATACTTCTAGTAGAATTGCAAACACTGTAAACATTACGTTACAAATAGCTAGATATAACAAGCCAAACAGCTCGTTAGATGTCTCCCCTGCAGCTAAAGTAATACAGATTATGCTTTGTTGCTAGATAAAGCTGTTGGTTTATTTCAGCTGGGGCAAGCAATGTACGTGTGCTATCCAGAGAAAAGCACGTAGGAGGGCTAAAGCACTTTCATTTTAGGGGAGGTAAACTCTTCAAGACCGGCCTCCT